AGCCCGGGCAACGTGGTGAGACCTTGTCTCTACAATAAATAAAAAAATTAGCTGGGCATGGTAGCACACACCTGTAGTTCCAGTTATTTGGAAGGCTGAGGTGGAAGGATCGCCAGAGCCCAGCAGGTTGACGCTGGGGTGGTCGTGAGCGTGCCGCTGCACTCCAGTCTGGGAGACAGAGTGAGACTCCAACATAAAAAAAAAAAAAAGAAAAAAAAAGAAAGGAAAAGAAATAGTTCCAGTTAAATGGCATCAAAAAGAATAAAATATTTAGAAATAAATTTAGTAAAGGAAGATGAAGACCTGGACAATAAAAACTACAAAATATTGTTAAAAAATAACTTTAAGACCTAAATAAATGGAAAAATACCTTGTTTAATGAGATTACCACCCAAAGCAACATACAGATTCAATGCAATGCCCACCAAATCTCAACAGCATTTTTTTATAGAAATGAAAAAATGTATCCTAAAAATTCATACAAAATTTCAGAAGCCAAAACAATCTAGACAAAGAAGTAAAAGGACTCACACTTCCCAATTTTAAAGCATACTACAAATTGTCAGCCAGGTGCAGTAGCTCACACCTGGGTAACCTGGCAAGACCTCATCTCTAAAGTAAATTTAAAAATTAAAAAATTAGCCAGGTGTGGTGGTGCATGCCTGTGATTCTAGTTACTTGGAAGGCCAAGGGGAAAGGATCACCAGAGCCCAGCAGGCCAAGGCTGGAGGAGCTGTGTGCACTCCAGCCTGGGCAATAGAGATTCCAACAAAACAAAACGAAACATTGTCACATGGCATAAGAAAAAACATTTAGACATAATGAACAGAATTCACAGCCCAGAACAAACTCTTGCAAATATGGTCAACTGATATTTGACAAGGGTGCCCAAATCAACCTTTGGGGAAGTAATCTCTTCAACAAACGGTGCTGGAAAAACCAGGTATCCACACAAAGAATAAATCTGAACCATACCTCTCTATATGATACATAAACACTGAGTCAAAAATGCATCAAAGATCTTCATTTAAGAGCTAAAAGTAAGCCTGGCTTGGTGGCTCAAGCCTGTAATCCCGCGGCTTTGGGAGGCTGAGGTGAGTGGATTGCCTGAGCCTGCGGGTTCGAGACCCGCCTGGGCAGGCGAGACCTCATGTCTACACTAAAATCAAAAAATTAGCCAGGCATGGTAGCGCACGCCTGTAATTCCGGGTACTCGGAAGGCTGAGGCAGAAGGATCGCCGGAGCCCAGCAGGTCGAGGCTGTGGTGGCCGAGAGTGGCCACTGCACTCTGGTCTGGGCGACAGAGTGAGACTCCGACTCAAAAAAAAAAGAGCTAAAAGTATAAAAGTCTTAGAAGAAACATAGCAGAAAATCTCTATGAATCATAAATTTTTATGGTCCTCCCTCCCTCCTTTTTTTTTTTTTAAGATGAGGTCTTGCTGTGTCACCCAGGCTAGAGTACAGTGGTGCAATCATAGGCCACTGCAGCCTCTAAAACTTGGCTTCAAGAGATCTTCCTGCCTTAGCCTCCTGAGGCTGGGACTAAAGAGATGCATCATTGCACCGGCTAGAAAAACACAATATTTAGTACTTCAAATTACATGGTAACTTTAAAAATGTGTTTGTTTTTTGAGTCAGGACCTCACTCTGTCGCCTAGGCGACAATCACAGTTCACCACAGCCTTGACCTCCTAGGTTCAGAAGATCCTTCCACCTCAGCCTCTAAAGTGGCTGGGACTACAGGTATATGCCACCATGCTCAACTAATTTTTTGATTTTCTGTACAGAGGACATCTTACTATGTTGTTTAGGTTGGTCTTAAAATCCTGGGCTCAAGCAATCCTTCTACCTCGGCCTCTGAAAGTGCTGAGTTTATGGGTGTGAGCCACCATGCCTGGCCTTAAAAAAATGTTTGATGTAAGCAAGATAGCAGAATAGAAGGTTCCTTGACATCACTTCCCCCATGAAAATACAACTAGAAACTATCCAAAGATAAGAATATCACCCTAGGCCGAGCATGGTGGCTCACATCTATAATCCCAGCACTTTGGGAGGCCGAGGTGAGAGGACTGCCTGAGCCCACAGGTTCGAGACCAACCTAGGCAAGTTGATGAAACCTTATCTCTACAATAAATAAAAAAATTAGGTCGGTATGGTGGAGCGTGCCTGTAATTCCAGCTACTTGCAAGATGGAGTCAGAAGGATCGCCAGAGCCCAGCATGTCAAGGCTGCAGTGGCTATGAGTGTGCCACTGTACTCCAGCCTGAGCAATAAGGTGAAACTCCAATGCAAAAAAAAAAAAAAGAATACCACCCTAAACCAGATGTGTGGGGAGAAGCAGAGAAATCTCCTGTGCCCAAGAATTGAGAGAAGCCACGATGAGTAAGACAGTTAATTTCAAACTGTAGCACTACCACCCTTAAGCCACCTTATTATCACTCACAGAAATTCCCTAGACCCATGGCTTCTGGGGTGAAAGGAGAGAACTGGAGGTTGATGTTTCATCGCCCCCCTGGTCTGGGAAGCTTGAAGGGAAGCCCACTCTAGACTGATATCATACCAACCACGGGGGAACACTGGGATTACAATGGGCCGAACTACATGAGACTAACTGAGAACAAAGAGCAGGCACTGATTCTGCTCTGATCTTGGTAGCCACTTAGTGCTCTAAAGAGAGGGGAATGCCACAATAAACTCACTATGAAAACAGCATGAAGGTTTCACACACAAAAAAGTAAAAATAGATGGACCATATGATCCAGCCTTCTGACTGCTAGGTAACATATACCAAAAGAAAGAAGCAGTACATCAAAGAGATAGCTGCATTTTCACGTTTATTGCAGCACGACTCACAACAGTCAACCTAAGTGACCATCAGTGGATGAATGGAAAAAGGAAAAGTGCTATATATAAACAATGGAATAGTCTGCAGCCATGAAGAAATAAATGAAATCTTGTTAATCCTAGCAACACTTAAAACTGGATGTCATTATGTTCAGTACCATAAGCCAAGCACAGAAAGAAAAATATCGCATGTTCTCATTCACACACGTGAGCTCAGAAACTGGATCTCCCAGAGGTAGAGAATGAAGTGGTGGTTACCAGAGGTTATGAGGGTGGAAGAGAAGGGAGGGTGAGGAAAGACCGGTTGATGCACACAAAAACACAGAAGGATTCTGTTCTGGTGTTTCACAGCGCAGCAGGGGGCTCTAGTCAACAGGGATGTATTGCAGACTTCAGACATCTAGAAGAAAAGACGTGGAATGCTCTCCACACAGGAAATGAGGTGATGGATCTCCTAGGTACCTTGCTTTGATCATTATACATCATATGTACCACATTACTCATCATATGTATCATATGTATCACATACACCCATACATGTAAACAATTATTATGTATCAATAAAAATTAAAAACTAAAAGGTGTTGCCTGCTAGAAACAGAAACTATGTGTCACTGTTTGCAGTTCCAATTATTTCAGTTACTTCAGTCTTCTTCTCAGACCACAGCTAAAGCTCCTAAGTATAAGACTTCTTCCACATAAATGCCTTCAACTTAAATGCAGCTAAAAGGCACTGTAACATAGACCTTCTAGTCTAGGAAAGTACAGATATCAATGTTTCATTTTATGTGAGTACTTCCTGGAAAATCCCTAAATAAAAAGCATTCTATAAATGCCTGCAGTACTTTATAAATAGACTAAAACTAAAAATTTTAAAAATAAACATTCAGAATTGGAAGAAATTATCTGTATTTCAAATTCTGTATTTTACAAATAAGGCAACTGAAGGCCAAAAGAAGCAAAGTTTTTAGCCACATAGTTGGGATTTAAAATTATGTCTTATGAAATCTAATTATGTGGTTTCTTCATCTTTTTTTCAGTTGTTAAGATTTTGACACCGTTTAAGTGACCAAAGCTACAAGAGGCAGAAATAAAAGTTGAAATCTTAATTAAGATTAGGAATAAGACTTAACGTCCCTCATAGAAAACTCATAATACAAGTTAAAGGTCCCAATTTAAGAGTGGAAAGCAAAAACATACCAAAAAGAAAAGAACATAAAAATTGCTTTTTTTTGGAGTTGGAGTCTCACTCCATTGCCCAGGCTGGAGTGCAGTGGCACGCTTATGGCTACCCCAGTGTAGACCGGCTATGCTCAGGGAATTCTTTGGCCTCAGCCTTCCAAGTAGCTGGAACTGCAGGAGTGCAGTACCACACATGGTTAATTTTTGATTTCTTGTAGACACGAGGTCTCACCAAGTTGCCTGGGCTGGTCTCGAACTCACAGACTCAGGCAATCACTCGCCTCTCCTTAGCCACCCAGAGTGCTGGGATTACAGGCTGAGTCACCAAACCCAGTCTAGAGTTTTTTAAAAGCTATCTACAGATAATCCTTGGTGTCTTCTCACTCTTTCTGCCTACTTCATATACAAAGTTCTATTTTACATAAATAACATCTTAAATAAGAGTTTTATAATTGTTCATTTGGCTGTCTTTCTACTAGAGATCTCTCTTTGACTAGTGTAACAAATCTATTTTTACATTACTATAGTATATAAAATAGTAATATAGTAATATAGACTATAGTCCTGCCACAGACTATTTTGTGTGTGGGCTATATTTTCAGAATATTATCTTTTGAGTCTGCAAGTTTACTTTTCAGGACAGAAATTTCTATTATGTGAATTTCTAAATTATCAAGCTGAAGCAACTGAAGTCCATCTCAATATTAAAAGGAAAAATCAAATAATATGAAAACAAAAATAAACGAACCAATTTCAAAGACTTACACAGCAAACTAACTGCAAACTAACAAAATAACCAAAAAGAACTTGATAGAAGGGAACAATTTTGAAAGATGAATCTCGTGATTTACAGTAAATGAACAAAATCATTAAAAGGTCTTTATTCTAATGGGAATAATAAGAGGAAGAAAAGTTTAGCATTTTTTTTAAAGTAAAAATAATTTTGAGAATTCTTGAAAAACAACATGACTTACTCTTTGATATCACGAAGCTGATCAACATCTTGTGATCTTGTGAAATCTGGATCATGGGCTAGCAGGTGAATCATGTATGGAACTACATATTCAGGCAACAGTGATAATAATTTCTCTAAAGTGAAAACATCATTATTAACAACAACAAAAAATAACAACTTCTATAAAATCACTTACTGTACTGAGTTCTAACCACTTTACCCCTCAGTTATTTCTAAATTACAGGCAAAATGGTATCTTGACACTGAAATACTTATATTTCACTTTTGAAAGACATTAAAGACAAAAGGACAAACTGATGGCACAGTAGGCCCGATAAAGGTAGAAAAAAAATATTTACTATGACACCTGAGCACTGTGCTCCAATCAAACCACATTGCTGATTCCAAGAGAGAAATGCACATAATCAAAACAGTTTCATGCAGTAGAAGTAGGACTCAGGATTTCACAGGGACTTTTTAAAAATTTTTTGTGGAAGAGAGAGTCTTGCTCTGTTGCCAAGGCTGAAGTGCAATGGCACAATCATAGCTCACCACAGTCTCCAACTCCTGGGCCCAAGGGATCCTTTCACCTCAGCCTTCTGAGTAGCTAGGATTATAGGCATGCACCACCACGTCTAGCTAATTAACAACATTTTTGCTTTGTTTTGTTTCATTTTGCTATTGCTGCTATTGTTTTTTGAGTTGGAGTCTCACTCTGTCGCCCAGGCTGGAGTGCAGTGGTCGCTCCCTGCCACCGCAGCCTCGACCTGCTGGGCTCCGGCGATCCCTCCACTCAGCCTTCCAAGTAGTTGGAACTACAGGCGCACGCTACCACGCCCGGCTAATTTTTTGATTTATTGTAGAGATGAGGTCTCGCCAAGTTGCCCAGGTGGGTCTCGAACCCGCGGGCTCAGGCGATCCACTCACCTCAGCCTCCCAAGGCGCGGGATTACAGGCTGAGCCACCGAGCCCGGCTAACAACATTTTTTTTGTAGATGAGGATTCTCATTATGTTGTGTAGACTGGTTTCAAACTCCCCACCTCACACAATCCTCCTCTCAGCCTCTTCAAGTACTGGGAATACCGGCATGGGACTGTCCAGGATTTCAGCTTTTAAGTACATAGTAACTACAAAGAAAGTAGTCTATAAAAGTCCCAGTTTTATTATAAACTATAAATAGAAACATTATGAAAAACTCCTACAAATGGATATACTGACAAGATATCTTTGCACTGGGAAGTTTCAAAGTTACTTACCAGTAGCCATAGGGTTCTGTTTAATGTACTCCCTGCGTATACTGATATTTTTTAGTAAACACTGTCGTGCATGTGCCCTCCTCTCCTTTACTGGATCTTTGGCACACAAGGCAAAGATTGCCATGTACTCCAGGGGGAGCAGCAACTTCACAAGTGCCTTGTGGAGCTTCTGAGCAAATATCTGCCTTACTTGATAACACTCATCCTGCAGCAGCACAAAAATACTTAAATCAGCACACATTTACAAATGAAAGAGCAGTTTAAGCATTTTTAACATCTTCATTTTTAAACAAAGGTTCATTATATTGGGAGAATAAAGAATTTAATACCTGGGAGATATTTAGTTAAATAGGTAATAACAACATATTGCATATATTCATACTTGGGAGAGTAAACTTATTTAACTTTGAAGACATGTAACAGACAAAAATAAGATTGTAACTTACATTAATAACAAGTGCACAGAGTTGAAACTGTTCTGGGGTAATAATTTCATGGTAACAAGGTTCCTGAGCAAGCTTCATTATGGCACTACCAGCAGCTAATCGCAAGCGAGACATATCAGATTTACTATAAACAAAAAAGAGACAAACATTTCCTATAACCATTATATTCATAAAAAAGCTTCAGTTCCTTTTGAGGGCCTTAGGGGATACTTATACTTGAAATGCTTAACATACAAACATGAGAAAGGTATCTGGAGGCCATGAACTGAACACAGGGGAAGCTTCACATCACTGTGACTCTCAGATGACCAGTATATCTGCCTTCGCTTCTGGTCATACACTAGATCAAACCTTCCACCACAGTCAAGCAACTTCACTTACTCTTGCAACCAAACCACAACATAAGAAAGAACTGTTGACAACAGGAACTGTGCTCTTATTTTAAGAATGCATGTTCCTTGTAGAAATCATGATTTTTTTAAAAACCCAAAGAATTAAAAATCACCTATCCCCATTTAAAATCTATTTCCTACAAATTCTCTTATGTATACATATACACACATGACAGGAATCTACCTTGCTTAGTCCTACTCATGTCTACTGGAATGACAAGGTGACAAGAAGGGAGTAGCATCAGATAAGTACGTAAAAGTCAGGGATATGAAGTCAAGGGCCAGTGTCTGTCTTAGGTCTTGGTTCGAAAGGGGCTAACTTCCTTTTGTTGAATGAAGTTTTCAAATGGAAACTATGAGGCCTTGGCACCCCCATCCCCACCCAATGGGCCTGTATTTCCTAAATGGTGAACCGTGAAAATGAATAAGGTGAAAGTGCTATCTTCCTACCTGAATGTCCATGTGTAACACAGCATGGATTTTATATTTGTTTTCATGACTTTAGGAAATGAAGAAAGCTAGCCTGAAGACATGGGGACAATTACAGTTAAACGTACAAGGGGAGAAATTATGGCATTTTAAGATGTCAGGACTGTTAAAATGAGTACTGGTAACAAGGAGGGACCTGAAAATGGCTTCTGTGGCAGATGACTCAGAAACGAAAATAATAGCTTTTAAGTGCTTACTCTGTGCCAGGCAGTGACACAGTTTACTGGCTTTACCACACTTAATTCCCACTCTATAAGATGAGAAAATTAAGGTTTAGAAAAAGTGCTCAAGTTCACATAACTAATAAATGGAGTACAGAGTTGAATAACTTTCTAATTCTAGAGTCTGAACTAACAACATACTACATATAATATCCAATTAGGATTAGATTCCACGATATAGCTGTTCCACAGCCAACCAATTTCTTATTTTTGTGATGTAAATAATGCTAAAAAGAATATATTTGTGTATATATTTTATATAGTTATTTTATTATTTGATGAGTGTAACTATAAAGAGTCAAAGAACTAGAAGGTTTGTAAGGATCTAGATTAAAAAATGCTCAACAGTCCTGCAAAGACTGTGCCAACACTCAGAGTTAAAGTAATGAAGGAATCCAGTTCCCTGATCCCATCAATGACTCTTTAACACATTTTTTTTGCTGATTTGATAGGCAAAAGAGGTACCACGTAAGCATAAATTATTCTTACTATATTTAGTGATGTTAAGTTTTTCCAATATACTGCACTTAGTGATGCCAAACTTGTTCAAGTAAACTGATAATACAGAGTATTCTTCCCTATTGGAGATATTGGATTAGGTATCACTGATTTGCAGCAGCTCATTATTATGCTTTTGTCGCGTACTGTGCATAGTTACCCCAAATTCAAAGCGTTTCAATATCCCTAACGCAACTCTAATCATCAGCCTCTTCATAAAAGGCTGCCCTTGGCTTTTTTTATGATTGAAATAATATTTTATGGTTTCCCTCAATTTATGAAAGCATCAGGCATTATCTATTAGAATTCCTCATATCCTATCTCCTCCACTAGATTGCATATTCCTTAGAAGAACGGATTTTTTTTTAATCTTTAAAAATAACAAAGCAGCTAGATATGGTGGTGCAAACCTATAGTCCCACCTACTTGGGAAGTAGAGACAACAGGATCCCTTGATCCCAGAAGTTTGAGGCCAGCTTGGGCAAAACAGCAAGAACCCACATCTAGTAATTTTTTCATTAAAAATAAGTGAACAGCATAGCAGTATCTAGTATCCGATAATGCTCAATAAATCCTGAACGCATAAATAAGTGATTAAACCTCTGTCCTCTAACACAAATTTTAAAATAGAAGTATATCACAAGTAGATTGCTGTAGTTATCTCTGTTGTTGTTCTTGGTCTCTAGCAAATCAAGAACTTGAAAGAAACAAAAATCATGGAAAATTGAGCTCCTATTTCCATCTTAAAGGGAACAGAAAGAAGATAGCAGAAAGAAGATAGATTTCAAGAGTGAAAATTTGAAAAGTGCAGAAATGTAAACAACTTTTTGCATTTCTGGAACCATAAAGAGGCTCTGACTATCCCGTCTTTGAATCACCAATGAAATCTTTCTTATTTTCATGGCACTTAAGTTATTCCACTTATTGAATCACTTTACTATATGATAAGTCCTAGAATGCAGAGATTTTTTCCTACATGTTTTTCCTACAATGCTTTTCACACTATTTTACAAAGAGTAGAAATTCAACAAATTTCTTGAATTGAACCAAATGTTGACACTTAACTGTAACATTATCATGGCTAAATATTTACTTGGAACTGTTCATATAGTCCTTAAGAGTGAGGAAAAATGTACTACCAATATTAAAATAAAAACACTATAGGTGGCATTAACTCCAAGTGAGTACACAAAGCACAGGGTGTAATCACAGTGTAATTCAATATTAATTAGGAAAATAATTCTATATAAACTCTACTAAAATTTATGAGCAAAGAAAACGGAATAGAAGAAAAATCTCACCTGATTCTTTTCTGCTCTGTCAGGTCACCCTCACTAACCAACATCGCTGATAATAACCGTAGAGTGGAATTGGCAGATTTAGACTGGTTGTTTTTCATACCCAACAGCCACCTTACCAGAAGTTTAATTGCCTGTACCTATAAAATATTAATATGCTAAAAAAACAAAGCAACTTAAAATTCCAATTAAAGGGAAGCTTATTTTCTATTAATTAGATTGAGACTACTAATCCTCATCGGCAGACATGTTTTACTGAACAAGTCTATGGGATAATAACCATAACAATAAGAATTAATATTTATTCTGTTTTATCTGCACCAGGTACTTTTCTTAGAAAGGTATAAGTATTAACTTATTTCATCTTCCCAAAAATTCTATGAGGGAGATATTTTTTTTTTTACAAACTGATAAGGCAACCAAGACACATTACTATGATAGATACCTTGTTCAATATCGGGCTCCAGAACTCAGGCCTTTAAAAGTTAAACACTTGTCTAAGAATTTTAAATTATTTTAAAATACAGATATAAGGACAACTATTTGGGAAACCCCTACGGGTCCCCTTCCACTGTGGGAGCTTTTCTGTCCTCTTAATAAATTCTGCTTTCAAAAAAAAAAAATATTTAGTGCTGGGGATGGTGGCTCAAGCCTATAATCCCAGCACTTTGCAAGGATGAGGTAAGAGGACTGCTTGAGCCCACGGGTTCAAGACCAGCCTGGGCAACTTGGTGAGACCTCATCTCTACTATAATTTTTTTAAAAAATTGAGAACAAGTATTTAAATTATAATAATTATAGTATTTAGAAATAACATAGGCTTTCCTTTTTTTTATACTACTGAAAAACTACTGTGAAGATACCATCAAGTCTGATTCAATCCTACTTAGCAATCTGACAAAATAAACTGCAGTTTCCATAATTATTTGTAGTCATAATTACTTGGAGGAATCTACTCAAAGAAGTTAGCAAGTTATGTAAAAAGGCTAACCAAAAAAACCCAAGTATTATTTACTATATTGATTGACAACTTGGAAAAAGGAATTGATAGGTTATACGATGACTACGAAGTTTCGCACAGAAAAATGAATTATCAAAGACAATTATATGATTTCTTTCTTTCTTTCTTTTTTTTTTGAGTTGGAGTCTTACTCTGTCTCCCAGACTGGAATGCAGTGGCCGCTCCCGGCCACCGCAGCCTCGACCAGCTGGGCTCCGGCAATCCTTCCGCCTCAGCCTTCCAAGTAGCTGGAACTACAGGCGTGCGCTACCACGCCCAGCTCATTTTTGATTTATTGTAGAGATGAGTTCTCGCCAAGTTGCCCAGGCGGGTCTCGAACCCACGGGCTCAGGCAATCCACTCACCTCAGCCTCCCAAAGGCACAGGATTACAGGCTGAGCCACCAAGCCAGGCTACAATTTCTTATTTTAAATCCTAAGCCCACCAGTTTAAAAATGAGCTAAGGGTTTGCTGCAGTGGCTCACACCTATAATCCCAGCACTTTGGGAAGCCAAGACAAAAGGATTGCCTGAGCCTAGGATTCAAGATCAGCCTGGGTAACTTGGAGAGGCCTCCCTCTACAATAAACAAAAAAATTAGCTGGAAATGGTGGCATTTACCTGTAGTTCCAGCTACTTAAAAGGTTAAGGCAGAAGGATCACCTGAGCCCAGCAGGTTGAGGTTGCGGTGGCTGTGAGCGTGCCACTGCACTCCAACCTGGGTGACAGTGAGACTCCTAATTCAAAAAAAAAAAAGGAGCTAATGTTTAAATTACATCTATTAAAAGTGGCCCATTTGGTGACAATCATCTGTCTTTGCCAAGTTAATATCCATACGCTTGTAGACAGTTGGTGGTGAGGCTAGGCTTGAGATGCATCTGAGCACCAACATTCTACAATTTCTGTGTAGAATAGTCTCAGTGAGATTGTTTAAGCAGACAGAAGACACGGGCATATATAACAAATGGCAACAACTTTTATTATGGATTTTAAATTTTAAAACTTCATTAAAAGTGCTTATCAGTTATTAGGTTAAAAAAAGATGCTTCCAGGTGTTCCAGGTTATTAAGACCTGTGCACATTTACCTTTGCTAGGACTTCAGGGGAAACCTCTTCATCTGGGGACCATAACTTTCCATTCTTCTCACCTGTTGACTATAGACAATTGAACAATTTTAACTTTTAGAAAGAACAAATTTTAATGCTTATACTCATTAACTTTTCATGCTGATCAAAGCAGGCGCTGAGAAAGTCACAGAAATGTCACCAGCCACAGGTTTGGAGAAGAAAAAAGTTGGACGACTTATACTTCCCAATTTTCAAGCATACTATATATTGTGTAGTAATCAAGATAGTGTAATTGGTAGGCACTTGCATAAGAATAGGCATGTAGACCAATGGAAAAGAATAGAAAACACTTACATACATAGTCAAATCATTTCTGACACGGAGAAAAAACAGTCTCTTCAATAAATCGTGCTGGAAAAACTGGATATTCATAAGCAAAAAACAAAAACAAAAAAAAAAAGAGAGAGAGAGCTGGATTATAGCTTATACCATATGTAAAAATTAACTCAAAATGGATCAGCTGGGCAAGGTGGTTCATTCCTGTAATCCCGGCATTTTGGGAGCCTGAGGCAAGAGGACTGCCTGAGTCCAGAGGTTCAAGACCAGTCTACGCAACTCAGCGAGACCACTTCTGTACAATAAATCAAAAAATTAGTTGAGGGTGGTGGTGTGCACCTCTGGTTCCAACTAATGGGAAGGCTGAAGCGGAAGGATCACCTAAGCCCAGCAAGTCAAGGCTGCAATGGCCAAGAGAGTGCCACTGCATTTGAGCCTGGGCGACAGAGTAAGACTCCTACTCAAAAAACAAAAAACTTAAAATTTAAGAGCTAATACCATAAAAGACAACACAGAGGAAAATTCTTGTGATTTTGGATTTGGCAAAAATCTGACAAGGGTTTAATATCCAGAAAATGTAAAGAATCCTACAAACTCAACAACAGGCAACCCATTAAAAATTTGTTGAACAGAGCGGTCTCCAAAAAAGATAGACATGTGGCCAATAAGCACATGAAAAGATCCTCAACAGCATAATTCATTAGGAAAATTCAAGTCAAAATCACAATAAGGTTTCACTTCACACCCACTAGGTCAGCTACCATTTCTTAAAAAAGGAAAACAGTAACAGTTCTCAAAAAAAGGTGAAGAAATCTGAATGAATATGCACTGCTGGTAGGAATATAAAATGGTACAGCCACTGCAGAAAACAGTCTGGTGGTTCCTAAGATAGTTCATCACAGGATGACCATATGATCCAGCAGTTTTACTCATAGGCATATACCCCAAAGATCAGAAAACAGAACTCAGATATTTATGTCAAAATTACTTAATATAGCCGGGTGGGTTGGCTCATGCCTGTAATCCCAGCATTTTGGGAGGTCAAAGCGAGAAGACTGTCTGAAACTAGCACAGGCAACTTAACAAGATCGCCTCTACAATAAATTCAAATATTAGCATCATGACACATGCCTGTGGTTCCAGCTACATGGAAGGACGAGATGGAAGGATCTCCTGAGCCTAGCAGGTTGAGGCTGGGGTAGCCATGAGTGTGCCATGGTACTCCAGCCTGGAGTACAGTATTTGACTCAAAAATAAACAAACAAACAAAAACCATTATTTACAATAGCCAACAGGTGGAAACAACTCAGGTATCCATCAACAGACAAACAACTAAACAAAATGTGAGATAGATATACAATGGGACATTAATTATCCATGATAGGAATTAAGTTTGGAAACATACAACAACATGGATAAGTCATGAACATGTGCCAGTGAAATAAGCAGACATAAAAGGGCAAATACTGTATGATAAGAGATATCTGAAATAGGTAAAGTCAGACACTTGGAAAGTAGAACAGGGGTTAAAAGGGGTTGGGGTAGGGGACATGGGGAGTTATTGCTTAATGAGTACAGAGTTTCTGTTTGGGATGATAAAAATGTTCTATAGAAGAATGGTGCTGGTGATTAGACAACAATGTGGATGTATATAATGTCAGTGAATTCTATACTTTAAAATGGCAAATTTTATATTATATATATATATTTTTTTTTTAACCACAGTAACAAAGAGACTATCTTAAGATATGATGTCAACATCAAGTTATCATTTCAGAGGTGTCTTATCATTCATACTAGTTGATTATTATGTCAATTAAGAGTGGAAACAACAACATGGATGAGTGGGGTTGGAAACCAGACTTAAGGCACATTCCTCCCTTTGTGCCTATTATATCCAAAAGTCGGAGGTGGAGGTGCAGGTGAAGAAGGTGTACTGGCAGGTGTCTTTCTTTATATCTCTCATATTGAGAGCTCAAGATTCTGAACCAGCTGGGTGTGGTAGCTCAAGCCTGTAATCCCAGCACTTTTGGAGGCAGAGGTGAGAAGATTGCTTGAGCTCAGGAGTTCGAGACCAACCTGATCAACATGATGAGACCTCATCTCTACAATAAACCAAAAAATAAGCCAGGCATGGTGGTTCTAGCTACTTGGAAGGCTGAGGTAGAAGGATCACCTGAGACCAGTCTGTCGATGTTGCAGGGGCCAGGAGCATGCCACTGTACTCCACTATGGGCGACAGAGTGAGACTCTGACTCAAAAAAACAAAAGCAAAAACAAAATTACTGAACCATGAGGCAGGATTGTGGTAGTAAGTTGGATTTGTGGGAAGTTAGCACTTAAGTGATAATCATCCACAATGATCTAACATGTAAGAATGACTTGTCTTTATTCAATAACTCTTTACTTTAAACCCATTTGGTAAAGAAGTAAATCCTAATCAAGATGGGTTTCAGAAATTGTTGAGAGAAGCTTAAAAAATGTTTTTTAAAATTTTTAACTTTTTTATTTTAAAGATGTGGGTTACAATTCAGCGTTAGGTATACAAATGTTCATAATGCAAATACCCTTGTTAATGAAATATCAGACCCCCAAGAATTTTCAATCTACACATTCCTGGGTTCCAAACCAGAGGAAATAGAACACTGCGCTCACACAAAAACACACAGATACATTGCAATAAATCTACTGCCAACAGTGCGATGTAATTAATTTCAAATGCTTGATAAAACAAAATTCTACCATTCCAGAAAATTGTACACAGTCCTTCAAAGATCAGAATAATACCACTTAACATATATCTTTATGATTCACCCATCTCATGTTCTTGTTTCTTCTTTCTTTAATGTCAAATTCTAGCAATAGCTACCCTGATATCAGGAAGTCACTTGGAATTTAGAAAATAAATGAAGCCGGGCTCGGTGGCTCAGCCTGTAATCCTGTGCCTTTGCAAGGCTGAGGTGAGTGGATAGCCTGAGCCCACGGGTTCGAGACCCGCCGGGGCAACTTGGCGAGACCTCATCTCTACAATAAATAAAAAAATTAGCCAGGCGTGATAGTGCGCGCCTGTAGTTCCAGCTACTTGGAAGACTGAGCGGAAGGATAGTCAGAGCCCAGCAGGTCGAGGCTGCGGTGGCCGGGAGCAACCACTGCACTCCAGTCTGGGCGACAGAGTGAGACTCCAACTCAAAAAAAAAAAAACAAAAAGAAAATAAAAATGATTAAGGAGGGCCAATGTAGAATAATTTAAGAGAATTACTAGAAACGGAAGTGTTTCTGTGATATAAACAGTCTTAATCCCATGATTCTAAATTCAATTAAATGAGAAACTTACCCTGTCATTCATTAGCAGATCTTTCACAATAAAATTTGCTACTACAGATTTCATTGGGGAAGCAAACTGATCTGGTGCTAACATAGAAATGTGGCCCAATGAAACTAATGGAGTTATAAGTTGTTCTGGCACATCAGCATTCAGACTCCTACTGAGTGGCTACAAAAATAAAACAGACCAAATTACCACTTGTTTTATAAACATCTAGACATTCTTCTAAAAACAGTACATTTTCCCAAATCCTCCTAAATTTATCATGTGCAAAACAATCTGTTCTAATGACACTTAGAACATTTAGTAAGAAAGAATATAGCAAAAGAAAAAAGTAAGAGAAGTAAAAACAAGAACATTTCTGCTTTATCAAATAAGTATCATTTTGAACCCAGATACAACAACAGTTTTGCTATGCTGGTGGATTTTTCATTGTTGGGGACATTTTAAATGACCTTGAATCATAAACAGAATTCACTGGGTTCTGTTCACACTATTTGCAGTTTATAATAAGAATACTTTTCTAATAGCAAAATCAGGCCAAGAATTCTACAAACAAAAGGAAAATAGGATGAGTTTTCAAGGGGGGTTGTTACATACTTTAAACTAGGTTGTTCAAAGGCATCTAATAACACTTCCTGACGATAGATGGACCACTGACCCAATAAGGGTAATATTAAGCAAAATGGTCTAACAAACACACAAAACATAATGAACATACAACCTGATCTAAAGGCTAGGTAAACCAGATAGAACCCTGCTCCCGAGGAATTTATATTCTAGGGTATGACTTCCTATGAATAGCTTTAAAAAAATCTAGCTTCCATCTTCATCAAACCACAGAGCTTAAATAAAGACCAAGATAAACACATCCAATGTATTATATATACCTCGAAAATTTGTGCAAGCTGGACTTCTTTATTTGTGAATATGGCGTGGATACAGTGCACAGCTTGTTTCGCTTGGTGTGGAGTACCCCTCTTTGCTTTTTGATGTAAAATGGGAATTAAGGTCCTACAAAAAACAAATATCACAGTGTCTTTTTTTTTAAGCCCATAAACTAAAAATATTCTTTTCTTGGCTCCCACTTCCACTATTTGGATAAATGCTGATAGAGAAGAGAAGCCTCTCTTACATGTCTCTTCTAAGTAGATATTCTAATTTTCCAGTTCCTTTTTATAATACCCTCTAGTTATTTCAAAGTAGCCATGGAAAGAATAGGAAAGGCCAAGTTGCATTAAACAGCTGAAATTATACCAATGAAAGTAGGTATACAAAGATACAAACATATAGGTAGAATGGTAAGAAAAATATCTAACAATAAATATATGTGCCAGGCACCATTCTAGGTGTTTATACATGGATTAATTCAATGAATGTTCACAACCACCCAAAGAGGACTATTGTAACCATTACACATGGAGAAACCTAAAACACAAGGATGTTATTTAAACCTCCTGAGATGACAAAGCTAGGAAATGGTGGTCTTTGGACTCGAAGACAAGTATCTATTTCAAAATTTGCACACTTAAAACCTCTATGCTGGCCAGACTCGGTGGCTCAGCCTGTAATCCCAGCACTTTAGGAGCCCGAGGTGAGTGGACTGCCGGAGCCTAGGGGTTCGAGATCCACCAGAGCAACTTGGTGAGATCTCATCTCTATCATAAATAAAAAATTAGCCGGGTGTGATAGCATGCGCCTATAGTTCCAGCCACTTGGAAGGCTGAGGTGGAAGGATCGCCGGAGCCCAGCGGGTCAAGGCTGCAGTGGTCGGGAGCGTGCCACTGCACTCCAGTCTGGGCGATGGAGTGATACTCCAATTCAAAAAAAATAAAAAAACTCTATGCTAACACTGAAGAGTAAACTGAGATGGCCTTTCTATGGAACAATACGGAAAAAACATATTGTAGTCTTAACACATTAAATGTTGATATGAGGTTGGGTGTGGTGGTTTATTCCTACAATCCCAGCACTTTGGGAAGCTGACCCAGGAGAAATGCTTGAGGACAGGACCTTGATACTAGCCTGGGCAACACAGCAAGACCTTATTTCTACAAAAAGAAAAAAAATTACCCAGACAAACTACACGCCTGGAGTCCCAGTTACTCTATTCCAGCACTTTGGGAGGCTAAGGTAGGAAGTTAGGTTCAACATCACAGTGAGCTATAATCACACAACTATGCTCCAGCCTGGGAGATAGATCCTGTCTCCTTAAAAACAATAAATAAAATTTTAAAAAGGTTGATGAAAAACATTTGGTGAAAGGAAGAAAACAGCAGGTTGCTATGAACCTATAAAAATAGACAGACAAATCCAGTAGATGAACATTCATTAAAAATATATATATAAAAAATTTAAGTGACTTTTTTTTTTTAGTTTCAGCTTTTTACAAATAATATGTCAGCATTTTTATAAACAAAAGTAAATTTATAAATAAAAACTTAAAGGATATTTGTCATACATTTAATGTAATTAGGAAAGATTCTATCTTATAAATTATAAAATTGGCCAGGTGCAGTGGCTCAAGCCTGTAATCCCAAGCACTTTGGACCGAAGTGAGAGGAATGCTTGATCTTAGGGGTTTGAGACCAGCCTAGGCAACTTGGCAAGACCTCATCTCTACAATAAATCAAAAAATTAGCTGGGAGTGGTAGCACACAACTGTAGTTCCAGCTACTTGGAAGACTGAGGGAGAAGGATCGCCTGAGCGCAGTGGTCGAGGCAGCAGTGGCCGTGAGTGTGCTACTGCACTCCAGCCTGGGCGACAAAGTGAGATTCAAACTAACTCAAAAAAATAAAATAAAATAAAATCAGTGGTAGCAAATATAATGGTGACAATGATTTTCTTGCGATAAAGGATAGACATCAAAAACAGTACTGGGCTGAGTATGGTGGCTCATGCCTGTAATTCTAGCACTTTGGGAGGTCAAGGTAGGAGAATCACTTGAGCCCAGGAGTTTGAGACCAGCCTGGGCAACACAGAGAGAACTCATCTCTATTTAAAATAAAAATTTAAGCCTGGGCGACAGATTGGGACTCAAACTCAAAACAATAAATAAATAAAATAGAAATAAAAAAAGCAATACTGTAGGCCCAGGTCATGCACCTAAAACCAAAACAAGAATATATGCTAGTATATGTCTGGTTTGACAATTATACGATGCCTCAAGCTTTCCTCCATGAAGATTAGGAATTATGGGATAGGGTTTACATGCCCAAATATCCTTCCTTGACTGAGCTTCTAGATGGCAGCTATCTTTTCTTTTTCCTATCTGACTGATCTTTCATAAACTCATTTACCAGAGTAATATCAGTTATAAAAAAACACTGAAAAACATAGTTTTGATCAAACTGTTGTCAAATGTATGATTAATTCTTCTTAGCCAAATGAAATGACACTAAAATCAACTCTAAGCTTTCTTGAATACTCTTACACAATGACGCCATCAAAGTTGTCATTAAGGATTTCAGTGTTGTGCTTTTCTGCTTCCCAGTGATTATCTCCTTCCTTTTCCATTAGTCTTAAATACAGAAAGTTTTATTCCTTGTGTCCAAAGTTAACTCTTGCAACTACACCCAGGTTTCTATTGCTTCTTTTGTGATAGGATTCCATTAAGTATAAATAGTTTGCCTTATAAAATGTATTAAGTTCACTATCCTGAAAAACTCACCAGATACATTACCCAACTGTGTCAATAATCTTTTAAAATAATGTACACATATAAAGATTATTATCTCTAAACTAAAAATTCCTTGAGGGCAAGGACTGCCTCGTAATTCTTTTGTATTAGCTAGAAGAGTGCTGAGAATAAAGAGAATGTCTAATAAATAATAAATTATTTCAAAAAATTAAACTATTAGCTCACGAATTTAATAAAAACATAAGGAGCCCACTTGTCCTATTATCCTGAAATCAGAAAGTTTGTACGAGGACATACACTGAACTACTTGCATATACCCTAAACAACTGATCCAAAAGGTATCAGCTATATGTCCTGCATGCATACATATATATATATATTTTTTTTTTTAAAATAAAGATGTGGTGTACAATTCAGGATTAGGTATACAAACGTTGATTATGCAGGTACCCTTGTTGATGAGGTATGCCTCTCCCTCAACTGCCAATCCCACCCCTTCTCCTCTGAACAGTTTCTCCTGCATATTTTAAACTTAACTATAAACTCTCAGCACAAAGTGAGTGTGGTGGCTCATGTCTGCAATTCTAGCACTTTGGGAGGTGGAGGCAAGAGGATTGCCTGAGCTCAAGTGTTCGAGACAAGCCTGAACAACATGGTGTGACCTTGTCTCCACAATAAATCAAAAAATTGGTCAGGCACAGTGGTGTGCGCCTATAATTCCAGCTACTTGGAAGACTAAGGAGAAAGGATCATCTAAGCCCAGCAGGTCGAGGCTACAGTAGCCATGATAGCGCCACTGCACTCTAACCTGGACGACAGAGTGGGACTCTAACTCAAAAACAAAAAAAGACACCAAAATGTTAACATAAAAATATACTTTATTTCTATGAGGAGAACTGATGAGAGTAACGAAAGCACCACTGCCAACTAGCAAGCAACTAGTAGTAAGTATTCCATTAAGCATACTATTTGATTGCCCCATTCTTTGGTGAGATAAGAAGACACCAGTTATTAAAGACTATAGAAAAAGAAATAATATCCTTAGAGAGATATTAATCACAAATATAATAAAACTAAATTCTGTGATAACTTTTTATTATTAATACTGTAAAATCATTTTGTATATGACATAGGTTGTTTATTCCTTTGCCTACATTCTAGTGGTGGGGAAGGGGTGTAAGGCAAGGGACAGACAAAACAAAGGAGAATGTAGAAAAGTAGCTTCTAAATGAAAGTTGTCTTCTGTCTCCCCCATCTTCCTACACCAAGAGGAAAACAATGACTCTATGGCCACCACACATAGAAACTGTTGTGTGAAAAAAATTAAAAGAAAAAAATATACTCACGATCGTATCTGGGGAAGATCTGTCTCTATTTTGTGACCTGTGTTTCTAAAAATCTGTATAGCTGCTTCTGCCACCTTGTCATCCTCCATTCTTAGGCACTGTAACAAGGACTCATATGTCTCTGCAGAGTGGAACGAGGTAGGATGTGTGAAAGAGAGAACCTGGAGGAATAGATGTAGCTTTAGAAGCACAGACAATGGTTTTAATTCATTAACAAAGGATAATTACTTCCTGGAATAAACAACATGTAAATTTCTACATATCTAGCTGAAAGAACAGAGGTTACATCTCCTAGTCTCCCTTGCAGTTGGCTGTGGCTAATGAGACATTATCAGAAAACACTGTCTGGTAGCTTCCAGTTACTTTCTTGGCACAGCTGATATACAGTCCTTGCTCTATTTTCTTCTTCACCTCTTAGTCTATTCTGCTACCTGGAACTCAAAACACATGGACTGTGTCTTCTAATATTAATAATTATGACCAATTAAAAAATATATTATACTTGGGTGAAGGAATGTTTATTCAAAATAAAAGCTCTACATACACAATAACTCAATCTTTGTGTAAAATAAACACAATGCTAACTCAGAACTTCTCTTTGCCAAAAAGATGATCTATGAGAAAATATTTTAAATGAAATCTCTCACAAAAAGTTCACTCACCATAGCTATCAATAAAGAAGTCTTTACTGTGAACTCCCAATTATGATTATAATACATAACTATTCCCTTATTTATTATCAAATGAGCCAGAGCCTATTCTTAAGGAATTTACAGCAAGTTAGATACATGTATACAAAGTTTACCTTCCATGAATTGGAAACCGTTCAGTTAGTAGAATATCAGGAATAAGGGCAAAAAGCAGAAAGGCAGGGAGAAGAAACAAGCAGGTAGTTTTCACTAACGTATTCAATAAACATTTACTTAATGGGTCATAAAGTGCAATGATGGTCATATGTGATGAAGTTTCGAATAATAATATTTATGTGATCTTAGTTATTTACAGAAAATTAGAGAATTAAATTTAAAAAATGGAATAAAAAGCAACCTATTATAGACTTTTACCTTAATGGTGCTTTTACTTTTAAAACTACTTTAAAATATAACTCAATTATTAAAAATATGACTGAAATCTTAAGATGCATCATAACACTTCTTTCAATGATATTTAGATGCTCACAATATGGTCCAATTATTCACTTTCTCTCTAACATGCCTTGCACTGGTTGTCTCTTCTCTCATAGTTTATGTGTTGCAGTAGTCTCAGTATCTCCTTGACTTCACTTTCTTCGCTTTTACTCAACCCAATGAAAGCTCTATCCAGTTTGATGGGTAGGCTCCTGACAGTATCTTTCTGCACCAGGAGAACACCACAATGTGGAACCAACCAAGGCAACCCTTTTCTCCAGCCCAGGGCAGTCGCCCAAGGATCCCTCAAATGTGCCTTTGATGATGCTGGGTTCATCCCTGGATTAAGTCATATCGTGTCTACAAAACCTTGAGTTACCTAGCTCTTATTAATTGTTCAATTTGCTGAATTCACTGACATCTATTTTGTATGCCAATTGTTCAACAGTTCACTAGTCAAACAGATGGTATCATACAATAATTCCTGTGGGCAGTCATACTGTCCACAAAGCAAGTTCTATGGAACGGAAGACTAGATTCTGTGGTTCACACTGTTGCAAGCATAGCAGGCATGCAAACGATGACTAAAATAGCAAAACCAAAGTTTACTAGTCACATCATTATATAAAAACATTACTTTTATATAATCTGATTCCTACCATAAATTTTTAATCTTTTAAATATATTCCAATGAAATATGCCAGACTTTTGTATACCTTGAAGGGAATGCAAATTATGACCCTATGGAAAAACAGAGACAAAATAGTTTCAAAAATACCTTAAGAAGTTCAAGTCCTGAACGAATAGCTGTATCTGGACTTACACCCTCCTCTTCATCATCTGCTGTCCCTTCTATTGACTTATTCATCAGTTTTACTAGTGCACTATTAAAAGAAGAAAATGTAAATTAGTAACACTAATAGATTAGTAACTACCCTAATTACACTACAATAGAGCACATATAGAATCATAAGAGATAAGATTCAAAGGACATTCTGTTGGGAAAAAAGTTAAACTGTTCTCAACTTGACAGGTGAACTTCTTTTTAGTTTATTCTCCTAAAAAACAATGTAAAATAATAAAAACTCTGCTGCAAAATTTTAAAAAACAACTAAATTAAATGACACAATACTGGTAATATATTTCTGTAAATATAAGAAATGTTCATTTCCCTATCAAAAGAGATCATTTTCAGTTTTAAGACAAACAGTAATGTGGTAGTTGCTAAATGGGCAAAAGACAATTCACTCAAAACAAAATGCAAATAGTAAGTGCACATGAAGAAACATTTTGATAATGGCAATTAATGTACAGAATGAGTTATTTATAGAAACTTGTAATAAAGTAGTCATAAATAGATTCACAAATAATAAATAATTTCATTGTTGAAAATTATGGAATTAGTTTATCAAACATACCTACCACCACAAAATGGAACTTTGCCTGGTGAAGAGAAATCAGACTATACAGCAACATAGTACTACTTCAATTAAAACAAATCTGATTCTAGGTTTTGAGACTATTTACTTGTCAGTAAATGAAAGAAATATTACCTTACTGTTAGAGCATTAAATTATTACAACAAACAACACAGCAAATAGAAAATGTTCAAAATACAGTTGCATTAAATTTTTTCCTTTCATGTTATGCATACTTCACTCAAATTATTAATACACAGTTTCGGGGGTTTCTTTGGGGTTTTTTTAAATTCTAGTCTGAAACCATAGGCTCAAGCAATCCTCTCACCATGGCATCCCAAAATGCTGGAATCACAGGTGTGAGCCACCACACCTAGTCAATAAAAAGAAATTTTATAGTATAAAATATGTGTAGGATACAGAGGTTGAAATTTTTTTCACTTTTCTTCAACTGAAAGTTGTAATTATCCATAATAATAGGGTACATACTGATGTTTTGATACATATAATGTATACTGGTCAGTTCAGGGAAATTAGCATATTCATCCCCTCAAACATGTATCATTTCTCTTGTGGGGAACATTCAACATTCACCTTCTTCGGCTACTTGAAATGATACATTGTTGCTAACTATGGAAGTGCTATGGTAGTGGTATAGAACATGAGGACTTAACTCCTCCTGTCTAGATGTGAATCCTTTAGCAAATCTCTCCCTACCCTTCCATTCCCAGTTTCTGGTATCCTCTATTCTACTTTTTACTTGAGATCAATGATTATCTTCCACGTGAGTAAGAACATGTTTAACTTTCTGTTCCTGGCTCATTTCACTTAACATAATGTACTTCAGTTCCATTCATGGAAGTAACAGGAATTCATACTCTTTAATGACTGCATAGTATTTCATTGTATATCTCACTATATTTTCTTTTTCTTTCTTTTTTTTTTTTTTGAGTTGGGGTCTCACTCCGTCACCCAAGCTGGAATGCAGTGGCACGCTCACAATACCCAAGCATCCACCTGTTGAGCTGCAGCAATCTTTCTGCCTCAATCTTCCAAGTAGCCAGAACTATAGGCGCATGCCATCACACCTGGCTTATTTTTTGATTCACTGTAGAGATGAGGTCTCACCAAGTTGCCCAGTTTGGTCTCGAACCCGTGGGCTCAGGCAATCCTCTCACCTTGGCCTCCCAAAGTGCTGGAATTTTAGGCATAAGCCACCACATCTAGCCTCTTTTTTTTTTTTTTCACTCTGTTGCCCAGGCTGGAGTGCAGTGGCATGTTCACAGCCACCATAGCCTCCTTCTGCTGGGTTCAGGTGACCCTTCTGCCTCAGCCTTCCAAGTAGCTGTAACTACATATGCACACCAACACACCTGGCTAATTTTTTGATTTATTGTGGAGATGAGATCTCGCCAAGATGCCCGGACTAATCTCGAACCCCTGAACTCAGGCAACCCCCTCACCTCGATACCTCGATATCCCACTCTCCCACAGTGCTGGGATTACAGGCTTGAATGACCACGCAGCCCATTTCCTTTATCCACTCATTCTCACATGGACTCAGGTTGATCCCATATCTTGGCTACTGCGACTAATACTGCAATAATGCTGCAATAAGGGGTGCAGATGTCCCTCTGAAATACTGATGTTCTTTCTTTTGGATGTACACCAGTAGTGAGACAAGCTGGATCACATGGTGGTTCCATTTTTACTTTTTGGAGGAACCTCTATTCTGTTCTCCGTAATGTTAAAATTGACAGATGCTGAAATTTAAACTAATTTTAGTACTTTCATTTCCCCTTTTACATCACAAGAATGATTTTTTAATACATTGATATCTTCAGTTAATATAACTTTATTAAAAAAAAATAAGCTGGACTCGGTGGCTCCCCGAGTTTTGGGAGGCTGAGGTGAGTGGACTGCCTGAGCCTGTGGGTTCGAGACCCGCCTGCGCAACTTGGTGAGACCTCATCTCTACAATAAATCAAAAATTAGCTGGGCATGGTAGCGCGTGCCTGTACTTCCAGCTACTTGGAAGGTTGAGGTGGAAGGATCACCAGAGCCCAGCAGGTCGAGGCTGCAGTGGCCAGGAGCTGCCACTGCACTCCAGTTTTGAGTGACAGAGGGAGACTCCAACTCAAAAAAAAAAAAAAAAATACATTGATTGTGTATAAACATCAGCTTGAAGTAGAGTTCATATATAATACACCTACTTAAAAAGTACAATTTAATGCTTTTTAGTGTATTCACAGGGATGTACAACCGCTACCACAAACTAACTGCAGAACATTCCCTCACCATCCTATGTCAGAATCCCGTCAGCATCACTCCCCATTCACCTGTACTCCTTACAGCCCTAGGTATTTACTAATCTATTTTCTGTGTCTAAACATTTGCTTATTCTGAAAATTTCATATGAACAGAATCATACAATATGTAATCTTTTGACTGACTCCTTTATTTATTTTGATTGTTTATTTTTTTTTGAGTTGGAGTCTCTGTCGCCCAGACTGGAGTCCAGTGACCGCTTCCGGCCACCGCAGCCTCAACCTGCTGGGCTCCGGCAATCCTTCCACCTCAACCTTCCAAGTAGCCAGGATTACAGGCATGCGCTACCACGCCCGGCTGATTTTTTGTTTTATTGTAGAGATGAGGTCTTGCTGCCCAGGCGGGTCTCGAACTCGTGGGCTCAGGCAATCCACTCACCTCAGCCTCCCAAAGGTGCAGGATTACAGGCTGAGCCACCGAGCCCGGCTTGACTGACTCTTTTAACTTAGTATGTTTTCAAGGTTCAGCCAGGTTGTAGCATGTATTAGTACTTTTTTTTTTTGAGATGGGGTCTCATTCAGTATCCCAGAATGGAGTGTAATGGTCTGATCATGGCTCACTGCTGCCTCTACCAGGGCTCAGATGAGTCTTCCACATCAGCCTCCTGAGCAACTAAGACTACAGGTGCACGTCACCACATCTGGTTAATTTTTTTTAACTTTTTTGTAGAAATGGAATCTCACTATGTTGTCTAGACTGGTCTCAAATTCCTAGACTCACGTAATCCTCCTGTCTTAGCCTCCTATAATGTTGGGATTATATGAATGAGCCACCATGGCAGCCCAGTACATCATTCTTTAAAAATTTCAAATAATGCTCCAATCTATGGATATAAGAAAACTTACTTATCCATTCATCAGTTTACAAATGTTTAGGTTATTTGCTTTTGGGGGGATCTTATGAATAATGTTGGTATAAGCATGTAAGTACAGATTTTATAAGAAAACATATTTTAATTTCTCTTGAGTATATACTTAGGAGTGGAACTACTGGGTCATATGGTAGCTACATATGACCATTTGAGAAACTGCCATACTCTTTTCCAAAGCAGCTCCACCATTTCACATTCCCACCAGCAATATAGGAAGGTTCCAATGTTTCTGTGTTCTCACCACCATGTCTGTTTCGTATTACAGCCACCCTATCGGGTGTGATCTGGTATCTCACTAAGGAGATACACAAATCTACAACAATCCCAGTCTACGTGTTCCTTTTTCTCATTTTCCAACAGTTACAGATCCTAACCATGCTTATGTACATCTTAATCCCTCCAATGAGTTAAACCTCATCTTTAACAAAAAGGGGAATCATGAAGGTCTGGAGAGGGGTGACCTCTTTTCTAACTGTCACACCTTATCTTCCAGCCCACTCTGATTGGTGTCTATTGTTTTGTCACATCACGGGGAAAGATGTCTATCTTCCTACTCTGACTCTTTAGGGATGCTGCTCCATCTCTGTTACATTCTGCTTATCCCATCTTCATCCTCTCTTTCAATGAGCAGTTTTCCAGCATTTAAATATTCAAAATTATTTAGTCAACAAAACACAGCAAGAAATTTTTCTTGTTGCTGGGCATGGTGGCTCACACCTGTAATCCCAGCACTTTGGGAGGCAGAGGCGAGATGACTGCCTGAGTCCAGGGGTTGGAGAACAGCCTGGGCAACTTGGAGAGACCTCGTCTCTACAATAAATCAAAAAATTATCAGGGTGTGGTGACACACCTGTACCTCCAACAACTTGGAAGGCTGAGGCAGAAGGATTGCCTGAGCCTAGCAGGTCGAGGCTGCGGTGGCTGTGAGTGTGCCACTGCACTCCAGCCTGGGCAACAGAGTGAGACTCTGACTCAAAACAAATACAAAAAGAAACAAAACTTATCCCCTTTTTATATCTCATGTTCTCCATTTTACAGCGGTGTACACTGATTATCCACATGTCAGTTCATCTGACAAAGGAGAGTTCAGAAGTGTGACCAGTCTACTTAGCCCTTTGGATTCCCTACTGAGGGCAGCCAGGTAACACAATGCTCAGTTTATCCTCAATCATTTTCTCTGTATACCATGATATAGACATTGGGAAGGACTGTCCTACTCCTTCCTGAATCCATGAGAATCTGAAGTCCCTACAGAAATGGTTGAGAAGATTGTAATCCCCCCACTCCCGCTCCCATTTCCTAATCCAGTGAATGCTGATTAGTACTTATTTGGCAACTGGAGAACATCTGAGCCTCCCAGATTTTACTCCCTCTTTGCCTTCTGTGATATCACTCTTTTCTGATTTTGTGCTTTTGACATGTTACCTCAAAACAATATTTTAAAACTTAACTTTATCTTCTGCCAGCTCCTTAATTTCTGATTTCCCACAGAATAGGTCAGTAGGGTGACTATAGTTCACAATAATCTACTGTATATTTCAAAACTGCTAAAAGGGAATAATTCCAATGTTTCTGGCATAAAAATAAATGTTTAAGGCAATGTATGCTACCTGTTTCACCTTTACAAATTATACAAATATATTCAATTATAACATGCACCCTGAAAAAATATGTATAAATAATGTATCTGAGCCGGGCTCGGTGGCTCAGCCTGTAATCCCACGCCTTTGGGAGGCTGAGGTGAGTAGACTGCCTGAGCCCGTGGGTTTGAGACCCGCCTGGGCAACTTGGCGAGCCCTCATCTCTACAATAAATAAAAAATTAGCTGGGTGTGGTAGCGTGCGCCTGTAGTTCAAGCTAATTGGAAGGCTGAGGGGGAAGGATCGCCGGAGCCTAGCAGGTCGAGGCTGCGGTGGCTGGGAGTGGCCACTGCACTCCAGTCTGGGCGACAGAGTGAGAATTCAACTCATAAATAAATAAATAAATAATGTATCTGTTTTAAAAAAGGATAGTCAACAGGTTATTGCTATGAATTGTGCCCATCCACTCCCAACTATTCACATAAATTCTATTCCCCAGTATGTCAAGAGTATGACTCAACTTGGAAATAGGGCATTTAGAGAGTTGATTAAAGTAAAATGAGGTCAAGTAGCTGGGCCACATGAGGTCAAGTGGGTGGACTGCTGTTCTTGTAAGAGTGGGAGATCATGACACACACACACAGCAAGCACACAGAGAAAAAAACCACCACGCCTGGCTACTTTTTCTCTTTGTTATAGAGATGAGGCCTCACTACGTTGCCCAAGCTGGTCTCAAACTCCTGGCTCAAGCATTCTTCCTGTGGCAGCCTCTCAAAGTGCTGGGATTACAGGTGTGAGCCTAAGTGCCTGGCTTATATAAGTACATATAAGATAAAAATAAATACAAGAATTTTTTGAGAAGAAAATATGTCAAGTAAAGGCAAAGATCATAAAATCAGGACTTTCCATTTGAATGATGCATGCTAATGCCACCAAAAAGAGACACAGAGAAGGATTTAAGGTCTTTTTAGAGGCCCAGAACATTGTTTTCTTTTTGAGGAGATAGCGTCTCACTCTGGCCCAGGCTAGAGCATAGTAGTATGACCACAGCTCAATGTTATGCTAGCCCTGGGATCAAGGGTTCTTCCTATATAGCCTCCCAAGTAGCTGGGAAGACAGGCATGTACAACCAGGCCCAGCTAATTTCTTTAAACTTTTTTTTTTTTTAAACTTAGAGATGGGGTTTTGCTATATTGCCCAGGTTGGACTTGAATTCCTGGCCACAAGTATGTCTCCCTCCTTGGCCTCCCACAGTGCTGAGATTATAGGTGTGAGCTGCTGCATTCATCATTAGAAATTAAATTTACAACACTATAGTTTGAGACTATAATGTAATTTTGAGTGAATATATTTCCTGTCTTACCTTATGGCTTCTGAATCAATGTGCACAGGTGCAATTCTTTCCAACAAAAATTTGACCATCTCTAGAAAAGGATTTGTTGGCTGCTTAGGATTTGCAAGTTTCCGGGCTATTTCTCTCTATAGAAAGAAAAAAATTTTAACATAAGTATAATTTGCTTCATGTTTTTGAAAATAAAAATGATTTCAGGTAAACAAAGTATTAAAAGATTCAAAACCAGGAGAAGTAAAAAAGAAGTTGCTGCTTCAGACTCTACTAAACTGGGACAGTAAAGAAAAGGAGTGGATGTGGTTTCTGAGTGAACATATTTCTCCTATGAAATGACTGTCTAGTGCAATAGCCTTCTAAATGCTCTACTGCTGAATAAAATGAAATCCAACAATTTATACTTTTAAAGGAATGTTTTATTGGTTGTTATATTTATGCTCTTTTGACAGAATACCGTGTTCTGTTGCAGTTAATTTCTTATTTTGGAAGGAGGAATCAGGCCGGTGCGGTGGCTCAAGTCTGTAATCCCAGCACAAAGGGAGGCCAAGGCGAGAGGATTGCCTGAGCTCAGGAGTTTGAGATCAGCCTGGGCAATTGGTGAGACCTCATTTGTACAATAAATAAAAAAAATAAGCCAGGAGTGGTAGCATGCGCCTATAGTTCCAGCTCCTTGGAAGACTGAAACAAAGGATCGCCGAAGCCCAGCAGGCCAAGGTTGCAATGGCCATTGAGTGTGCCACCGCACTTCAGTCTGAGGAACAGAGTGATTCCAACTCAAAAATAAATAAATAAATAAATGGATAATTTAAATAAAGTACGAAAATATTTATAGGTTTTTCACTTCTGGAAGAACCTAGTTGAGGGACAAATGGAAACCATGTATTCCTCTAGAATTGTATTTATAATAATATCATTGAAAGCTGCTAGGTGGACTCAAAGTAGAAGTAATTGTCTTGCCAGGCATGGTGGCTCATGCCTGTGATCCCAGTACTTTGGGAAGTGGAGACGAGAGGATTGCCTGAGCCTACAGGTCAAGGTCAGCCTGGGCAACATGGCAAGACTTTGTCTCTACAAAAAATCAAAACATTAGCTGGGCATGGTGGCATGAGCCTATAATTCCAGCTACTAGAGAGGCTGAAGTAGAAGGATCTACGGAGCCCAGCAGGTCAAGGCTTTGGTGGCCATGAGCATGCCACTGCAATCCACCCTGGACAACAGAGTGAGACTCTGACTCAGAATAAAAGAAAAAAAAAAGTATTTTTTTTACATCAATATTATATCAAATATCTCCTATGAAAAAAGATATTCTTGCTGAAAATCTCTAAAGAAGATGAAAAATTAGTCATTACAGAGACTGGATCCTCCAAAGATAAGGTTAAATTTACAATGTGTAGGACACTAGGGCAAGAAATTTAGATTAAGAACAGGTTTTTAATCAAATACTTAAGATAAATAAATGTGAATCTTAGCTGAGGAGATAATGCCATCAAATGTGCCTTCCAAACTACAAAGCAATTAACAAATGATAATCACTCTCTATATAAGCTTTACTCGTAAAAAACCAATACTTCAATATTATATGTTCAGGAGGACAAAGGAGAAAGGGTGAAAATTATACCCTCTGTGACATACTGACAGATTATAAAGGTCATATTAAACTAGATATCATCCATATTTGTTAGTAGAGTGTAAATCCAAAGGATTGAGATACTGAAGAAAATTTTTTAGACATTAGGAGAGCCTGATTTATTAAGTAAGGTGTAATTAACTGAGCAAGATTTTAGTAGTTTAGAAAAGAGTAATTTTCAGTGCTTAATCATTACATACTTTGCCCTAAGCCACAGGTTCTTATTTTAAATCTAAATTTAAAAGCTGTACTATCATATGAATTTAATCTTTTTTTGGTGAAATATCTCTAAAAGAGGATTTTCTTTCTTCTAGTACAAAATTAGGTTTCTTTACCTAAGAAAAATATATCAGAGGTTTTCTAAATAAATAGAAAAACTAGGCATTGGGAAAGACAATTATGGTAGCTCATGTGAACAAGCGTAGAAGAAATAAAAAACCTATGGGGAAGAGAAGAATGCAAAATTATTTAAATGCAGTAACAGAATTATATAAAATACATCTATGTATATAAATAATACTAAACAGTTTTTTTTTTTAACTGATACTTTTGTATTCCCATCTAACAATCTTGGATTTAGCTAATCCCTCTTAACAATACTTTATATAGCCAACCTAGGTCAGCTGGCAGAAAGAAATTAAACAAAAATAAAGAAGCAAAAAAAGGAGCTGTGCATGAGTGTGGTGGTGCATGTCTGTAGTCCCAGCTACAGAAGGCTGAAGCGGGAGGACTGCTTGCACCCAGGAGTTCCAGGTTGCACTCCAGCCTGTGCAACAGAGCAAGATGCTGATGCTTAAAAACGAGAGTTACTTCTGTATCTCTGACAATGCTTTGGAAACATCTGATGAAAATACGAGCTATCACCACAGATTAAAACTACTATTGAAATACATAGCTGAGCATACTACGCACACTTAAGGAATATCAGAGAGGTAGTAATAGCTTTATTTTCAATGAGCTTACAAATTATTAACTATTATGAAAATAAAAAATCTATATATGTATCTATATATCCCCTTTTCTGTTTGCACATCCTTTCTTTAGCAACGAAAAAATGTATTCACTTTTTTTAAAGTATGTTCTTTTTTTTTTGAGTTGAAGTTTCACTGTCACTCAGATTGGAAGGCAGTGGCATGTCCCCGGCCACCGCAGCCTCAATCTGCTGGGCTCAGGCAATCCTTCCACCTCAGCCTTCCAAGTAGCTGAAACGCCACCATGCCTGGCTAATTTTTTTATTTACTGTAAAGATGAGGTCTCGCCAAGTTGCCCACGCTGGTCTGGAACCCACAGGCTCAGGCAATCCTCTCACCTTGGCCTCCTGAAATGGTGGAATTATAGGCGTGAGCCACCGCGCCCAGTCTAAAAGTATTTTTTCAAGTTTACAATAATCCCTGCCATACACTGTTTATCTTCATAGTGAACCAAAATAAATCCTAAGGAGTCCAGGCACAGTGTCTCTCGCCTATAATCCCAGCACTTTGGGAGGTTGAGGCAGGAGGACTGTTATGTGCCCAGAAAATCGAGACCAGCCTGGCGACATGGCAAGGTTTCATCTCCATATAAAAAATTAGACGGTGTGGTGGTACATGCCTTTAGTATCAGTTACTTGGGAGGCTGAGGCAGATGGATTGCCTAGGAGGTCAAGGTTATTGTGAACCATGATCCTGCCACTACACTCCAACCTGGGTAACAGAGTGAGTCTCTGACTCGAAATAATACTAATAATTCCTAAGGGAATGTGACATTATCACTATTTTTGCAGGTGGAATTAGTAAACTAGGTGAGGCTATAGCAGTTTCTCACAAGAAGCAATTTCTAAAGGTTTAACTTTCACATAAGAGATTTGCATCATTCTCACTGAATTAAAAAAGACTAAAAAAAACCCAAAAATCAGAAAACATTCTATGATTGTTACAAAATAGCATAATTTGGCATTTGTCTCCCCTTTCCTTCATTTATTTCTACCTCCTCCATGTGATATAACTGAAAATATACAGAACACCAGGCCTGAATCTCAGCTCCTGAACCCAACTGGTAAGAGGCTATCTTCTCCTACTCCTAAAGTTTATCTCCTCTGATCGATATTTAATCAACCAACTGAACAACACAGAAGTCATGCTTGACAGAGGTGTGTAATATCAACTCATTCTTTAAGACTCAATTGAGAAGTCACTAATTCCAAATCCACCATTTCCCTGACTGATTTCCCACATAAAAAAAGATTATCTGGGCATGGAACTTCTGGCTATTTGGAAGGGCAAGATGGAAGGATTGCCAGAGCCCAGCAGGTCAACTCTGGGGTGGCTGTGAGCATGCCCTCCAACCTGGGCGACGAAGTGAGACTCCAACTCAAAAAAAAGAAAAAAAACCCAAACAAATATAATCCTAAGTATTTCAGAGCTCACAATATTGATAAATTCACACAAAACACTGCATCTAAAACAGGCTTTAATGAAAAATTAATTCCTGTAAGTAAAGCTAGGTGATCAAGCATCAAGTATAATTTACTAACCACACAAACATCTGCCTGTTTACAGGAACAGGTTGGGCTAATTAATAATTCCAACTGAGAACGCAGTTTCTCATCATCACCGAGAACCTGGTTAAATTTCTTCACAAAATCTTGTGCTTTCCCAGGATCAGGCAAATTCTCTATAAAATTAAAAGAGAATCAATATTAGAAGAAGAAAACTACAAAACTAAAAGGAAGTGTCTTAAAAGTACTGCTCAGGTTTAAAAAAAAATCAGCTAAGTGCTTCTAAGAAATAAAACAAAGAATCATTTTCTTTTACTCGGCAGTAAACTGACAGCTAATTAATTTGTCTGTACTGGTGTTTCTTATGTGCTTACGCAGCAATATACTCACTTGCGATGGTCATGAGTTTTCCAAACATAGCTGAGCAGTTAGCCTCTGACTGAAATTTAAAACAGACCGAAAAGATCAAATCACACGTGTTCTGTAACAAAAATCAATCTCATTATTTTACGTTTTTCATAAAGTTAGAAGAAAACTCATCAAAATCGACCAAAAAGAAAACGGGTTACCACGCATACAAAGTTGATATCAAAGAACTGGAGCAGCAACAACCACCAAGTTAAGACAAATAGAAGGAAAGGATATGTTTGCAACGAGGAATTAAAAAATTAAAAGTGTGTAACTTTCATATGAAAGTTATTTTGCCACAAGATTGAAGATACATGAAGCAGTTAACATATATAAAATTATTATATTAAAATTACTGAAACCATGTGCTACAGAAAATTAACAGAAAATATGAAGAGTAGAAAATTGTTCTACTTCTGAGTAGAGTTCTATTAGCTATTTTGTAGCCCATTGCTTAAATATTTTCAGAATAAACTCCTCTCTAAAAAGTACTCCTCTTTCTCCGTCATATAAAACATTACTTTAGTATTAGTTTTAACTTATATTAAATTTGAATAATTTGGTTCAGAACTCAATAAATTATTACCCTATGGGTCATCTGTTTTCCTTGGTAAAGTTTTGTTAGAACAGTCATGACCATTAATTTATGTATTGTCTACGATTGAATATCTGACCAGAAATCATATGGCTTACAATCTAAATTTTTATTAATTGCTGATTTATTAAAAAAGTTTGCAAGCCCCTAGGCTAGGCATTCATGGACCTTTGAGGTGTCTGCATATAGGTTCATGGTTAAGAACACCTATTGGACCGGGTACTGTCGGTGGCTCATGCCTATAATCCCAGCACTTTGGGAGGCCAAGGTGAGGATTGCCTGAGCCCACGGGTTTGAGATCAACCTGGGTAACTTGGGAAGATCTCATCTCTACAATAAATCAAAAAATTAGCCAGGCATGGTGGCGCTTGCCTGTAGTTCCAGCTACTTGGAAGGCTGAGGCGGAAGGATCACTTGAGCACAGCAGGTTGAGGCTGCGGTGGTACTGAGCATGCCACTGCACTCCAGCCTTAGTAAGACTCCGATTCATATATATATATTTTAAAACTATTCTGGTGAATATACTTATTTGTATAACAGAAAATTCAAGTTTTCCCCCATATTACAAAAAAACCCAGCTTATCTTTCTTAATTTGATATTGGCATACTTAAAGAATTTATAGGCCAGGCTCAGTGGCTCAGCCTGTAATTCCAGCACTTCGGGGGGCCGAGGCGAGTGGACTGCCTGAGCCCACGGGTTCGAGACCTGCCCGGGCAACTTGGCAAGACCTTGTCGCCACAATAAATCAAAAATTAGCTGGATGTCATAGCATGCCTTAGTTCCAGTATCTTGGAAGGTTGAGGCGGAAAGATTGCTGAAGCCCCAGCAGGTCAATGCTGGGGTGCCACTACACTCCAGTCTGGGCGACGGAGTGAGACTCCAACTCAAAAAAAAAAAAGAATTCAGAATTTATACCTGACTCTACACTGAAGGACCATGAATCATTCAGTACAAACAAACTGACTCCTAATCTTGAAATTTAATTCTAATTGATAAACTGTATAAACTCTTAGTATCTAAAAACTTGCTAAACTAGAAGACATGGTTTCTTTGCTCATGCTGGAAAATTAGAGTTCATAATATTTGCTTTAAATGAAAATTGAGCTCAGACAACTATAGAAATGTTTTACTGATGTTTGGAAAATAAAATATCTGAGACATTTTTTATATGCTTCATTATATAGAACTACAGATATCTGAGTGGCTGTAATAAACTATATACAAATCATGAACCTACTGTGGGCTGCTTGTGTAAATCCAACAGTTCGCGTACATGACTCCGAAGCATGTTCTGACACTTCCACATTTCATTGAGAGCTCTGGAAATAATGTTTTAAATATGACAAAATACACTGTGTAATAACATCGCAAACTATTCAACATTACAGCTTTTCTCATTTCACAGTATATATACAACATTCTTCCTTTAAATCAACCTAAAATTTTAAGCACCAGGGAATTTATTTATTAAGATTTCAGAAAGCTTAGTATAAATGGCAAATATAAGGCTTCTTACACGAGATAATGTTTGAGAAACTTTGAAGAGTAAGTAATAAGGAGATTGGAAGATGTTCTAAACTGAGATAGCCAGAGAGTTCTGACACAAGAAAAGATAAAATGTCATCCAAGTGCATGCCACATAATAGAAAACTGAAAAGCAAGCATATGCTTGGGGCACAGGGTGTTAGTGGAGAGCAGGAAGAAGCTGGAGCATGCCATACTCGAAGGTTAGACCATGAAGGCATTCTCATGCCAGGTTAAGGAAGATTCGCGAAAGGCTACAGACTATTTTTAAAAAAGAAACGTCTAAGAAATGACATATATTCAAGATGCCAAATTTAAACAGATTATGTTTATTCTATACTCTTCTTTCTCCCATGAATGCAGATTTTCTTCTCATTAATTCTGTATTTCCAGGTGCCCAGAGTACCTCTGAGACATTACTCTTTTGCCAGATATCATGAAATATATAAAACTATAAAAACCTTAAGCCAAGAAGAGCATCTGTAGTCATTTGTAAAGCTTTTTAAAATGTTGGCTATTACATCTTGTTAGGATGTGCCAAGGATTCACCATTACCCCAGTGGAATTTTCACATAGCCTTACTCTCAGAATGTGGTAACATGCAAAGAAGCCAAACTGAGACCACAATCCGCAAAATAACTAGTCTATGCTATACTCGCCCAAAAAACTCAAAGTCAAAAAGAACAAAAAAGACTAATAAATGGCCCCCACATTAAGAAACTAGAGACAAGACAACTAAACATGTAATGTGTAATCCTAGACTGAGCAAAACGTTACCCATAAACAACATTACATGAATATAAATGACTTTCACCACTAAACAGCACACTTAAAAACAGTAAATTATGTATGTATATTTTACTTAAACAAAAAGAAATTTTAAAAGAACATTGTATAACAATTGAGAGTTGAATATATATTATATTAGACAATAATATTGTATCAATGTTAAATTTCTTGATTTTGATAAGAATACTCTGCTTATTTAAGAGAATAATATTGTTCTTAATAAACCAACACTGAAATATCTGTAGGTAAAGGGATTGGTGTGCTAGCAAATTCATAGGTCAGAAAATATCTAAAGCGATAAAGAAGGGACAAATGGTAAACAGTCAAAAAGATGACCAGGGTCAAGAGGATGTCACAGTACATTGTATTATTCCTGAAACTTTTCCATATATTTGAAAGTGTACAAACATTAAAGTTTTATATCCATAAGATACAGTTAAAATCTTAACTCAAAAAATTTAGAATTCTTAATGATTTGGACTCATTTACTTTGTGTTTTTAATTAACAAATAAAAACTATATATATTTATGGTATAAAATGAGATATTATGCATACATTGTAACATTTACCTTTTTAAAACCCTAGTTAAGTGGAGTGAACACACATTAAGGCTGGCCAGCGACATTTTACTCATGCCAGTCATCTGAGCAAAATCATTAATATACCCTATTTCAGTCTCAAAAGTTCCCAGTTGGAGAATCAAACATGGAGTCATCCTTCATAGAGATGATGTGGATTTGTTCTCCTGACAAAGAATGACTACACAGTTCTTAGGCTTAGTACTTAGTCAGGAAAGGTAAAGCATCAGTAGTTTAATTTAGACCCGTCACAGATATTTTATGTGGTGACATATTTCAATACCTGAAGCCATATTACTGACCCAGTTGTCAATTATGCCTATGTATATGGGAACAGTTTGCTGTTAACTAACCTGAACTTCAATCATAATATTTTCAATCACAATAAATATCTACCTGAAGTTCTTGATTCAAACAGAAGCAACAATCCCATCAACAACATGAAATAATTTTATAAAATCTCCAAGAAATATACCAGTCATTTAAAAAGTAACTTACTTTACAGCATTTGGATCCAAACTAGCATATAAATAATATAAGCATTTCATTCTCTCTTCTGTTTCCAGGTTGTGGGGTACAAGATACTGAGCAAAGATTTTCTCTACCAACAGTCTATGAAACAACAACAACAAAAAAGCCCAAGTAACACAATTATTCTATGTTCCAAAAGCAAAAACCATTTGATAATTTTACCATCTGTGCACAGACACCACACCAATGATGAGTTATATATGCATAAACAACAGAAATATCAGTATATAAACAGTTTGTTTCATTGTAAAACATTCAGTAGTTTAAAATTTAGAAACTCAGTTTCTATTTGTGGCTTTACTTTACAAATTGTCATTATGCAACATTTATTCTAGAAGGTTAAAACGTATTCCTAAACACTGGGTGATAGGCTTCAGCAGTCCAGAGCTACAGCGAATTTGTTTACCTGTCACATAAAGCTATGAACCCAGGTATAGTTAATTCTCCAGGAATACTTTGATTTCCTCGGATTATAGTTAAGCCCCTTAACCACATTGTCACGTAGTAAAAGCAGGGAATGTCCCTTCATAGTACTTCGTGAAAATTTAAGTTTTTCCTATGAACATTTGATCTTTCTTTTCTCGACAGGCCAAATTCCTTACGAATACTGGAATATTGTTCTTGTTAAGATTATATCTATTATTCAATATCACTGGAATAAGAAAACACAGGGTCTTTATAATAACCAATAAAATACATATCTCCAGTGATATCCAAGTACCCAGTCTAATTCAGTAAAACACTAATACATTTTGAAAAGTATAATTAGTATGAGCCAATACAGTATTATAAATAACATTCAGAAAAATGAAAGCAACATAGTAATTTCTCTATTGGTAGTTATGGTGTTGCAAAAAGGAAAACAGTTATTGAATAGTGCACTAACGCCAGTCTTTGGGCTAAGGTGTGTTACGGTCATTATTTTATTTAACCCACCTAACAGTCAAGCAGGATAAGAATTAATATTCTTCCTTTTTAAAAAAGACTAAGGTGCACAAGCAGTTACATTACTGGTGCAACAGCACACATCTAATAAGAGTCAGCGTGAACATTTGGTTTCAAAGTCCATGCCTATTTCACTTTTTTTTTCCAGTTGGAGTCTCACTCTGCCGCCCAGGCTGGTGCAGTGGCATGCCCACGGCCACCCCAGTCTCGACCTGTTAGGCTCAGGAGATCCTTCTGCCTCAGCCTTCCAAGTAGCTGGAACTATAGGCACGTGCCACCATGCCCGACTAATTTTTTGATTTATTGTAGAGATGAGGTCTCAGTAAGTCTGAGCTCAGAGAATCCTCTCGCCTCCGCCTCCCAAAGTGATGGGATTACAGGTGTGTGGCACCATGTCCAGTCTATTTCACTCGTATTAGGCTACCTTATACTCTTAGATAGATAAGTACAGTATGTGCAAATAAGCAGAATGTTACTTCTAAGCTTATAAGTAACTTATTAGAATATCAGACGAATACATTTTTAAACAAGAAAGCAACATGCTCAGTCAATTTCACCCTTACTAGGCTACCTTATACTCTTAAATAGATAAGCACAGTATGTAAAAATAAATAGAAAGTTACCTCTAAACTTACAAATAAGTTATTAGAATATCAAACAAATACATTTTTAAACACGAAAAGCAAATTTACATTCATTGATTTGACCAGCATACTGAACTCACTTGTCATCAATGCTGTTCTGATAATAAATATGCAGAAGTTTATCCTTTATCCAGCTGACTTTCTCTGCAGCTTCTTTTCCTGCTTCACCATGAAGACAGTATTTCTTATAAAGCTGAGCCAGACCCATCATAGCTTCTTTTCTTACTCGCCACTGAAAAATACAAAATGTATCAGATGAACAAGATACCAAAACTTTATACAATAATCTACAAAAACTGCTCTGCTTCCCTGGGTTGCACAGTCTTATATGTACATATATAAATTAGCAGACTATATCATTCCATAACTTTAACAAATTGCTTTGCCAACAATTTAAAATCTGTTTCAATTTAGAAGCTAGACTTATTTAGAAAGTTTTCAATGCATTTACTGCTAAATAATCTAACATTTAAAAAAAAAATTTTTTAAATATGGGGCCTTGCTATGTTGTCCAGTCTGGCCTCCAACTCCAGGGCTGAAGTGATCCTCCTATCTCACCTCCCATCTCACCTACCAAGTAGCTGGGACAACAGGCTCCTAATTTTTTACTTCCCTCAAAACCCACCAATGGTAAATCTTAGAGAAGGGATTAAAAGACAAAGTGTAAACAGTGTAATAGTCTCCACTTTTTTTCTAGACATCTATGCCCTGTGACTATTTTAAAAGTAAAAACTTAAAGAATCTCTCTTATATTTCAAACTGAGATAAATTACTTTTCTATCTTGAAATTATAGTTTACTCAATTTCAAAGCACAGCAGGTCTTCGACTATTCCTCAACTATAAAATAGTATACTGCAAGGCAACTGTTGTGTAAGATGTTAGTGGATGCCTAACTGCCTGCCTTCCATGTCTGTCTCTTGCCTACACTTTGCCCTATTCCTTAGTAGAATTCTTACCACTGTTTCTTATCAATCCATGTTTATAACTGTATCAACTGGAGAATAAAAAAAAAAAAAAATCACAGGAAAAAGTAACTAATCACATGGCTTTCATTTCTGCCCTTAGTTTGGTGCAGCAATATGGAAATGCCACTTTCTTAGAAGGCATGACATTCGACAATGTAACAGAAATACCAATAGTATTTAGCAAGCAATGTAAAAACAGTAAATTCCAGATGATTAAAATTCCTCAGATTTTACCCGTTTATCCAGTGTTCTTTCTCGTACAAAGCCAAGCAGCTGATCATTTACTAATGCAAGGTCTCTTTTGGCAGCTGTTATTATAGTAACAATGACATCGTGACGAATAGCTTCTTCTGGGTCATGTGATCTAACCTTTAAATACTCTGTAATAAGAGAAAAAAAAGTTAGGGTAAATTTTAGCTATGTCATTTTATCATGATTCAGAAAGATATTAAAGACTAGAATGTTTTAAACTTCTGTCCATACTGAAAGTGTTTGTAAAATGTGACATGAACTGAAATCATGTTATCTGTTGCCCAGGCTGGAGTGCGGTGGCACAATCACAGCCTCGACCCGCCAGGCTCAGGCGATTCTTGTGTCTCAGGCTCCCATGTCACTGGAACTACAGGTGTGCACCACCACGCCTGGCCAATTTTTTGATTTATTGTAGAGACGAGGTCTCGGCAAATTGTCCAGGCTGATCTCAAACCACTGGGCTCAGACAATCCTCTTGCCTCCATGCACCATGCTGCGTACTAGCATGCCTGATGCAAAATCATTTTAAGGTAGCAGTTCTGTATTTTAATCACAAAACTGTACTTACAACTCCATAGTCACAACTTAATCATGTTTTTTACACTATCTATCTATGAATAATCAAGACAGGCGAAGTGGCTCACATCTGTAATCCCAGCACTTTGGGAGGTGGAGGCAAGAGGATTTCTTTTGTCCAGGGGTTCAAGATCAGCCTGGACAACTTGATGACACTTCATCTCTACAATTAAAAGAACAAAACAAACAAACAAACAAACAAAAAACAGGCAGATGCAGTGGCTCATGCCTATAATCCCAGCACTTTGGGAGGCTGAATTAAGAGGATTGCCTGAACCCACGGGTTTGAGAACAACCTGGACAACTTGGCGAGACCTCGTCTCTACAATAAATAAAAAAAAAACTGGCAGAGTGAGGTGGTACATGCCTGTGGTTCCACCTACTTGGAAGGCTGAGGCGGAAGGGTCACCTATGTTCAGCAAGTCAAGGCTGCAGTGGCCAGGAGTGTGCCACTGCACACCAGCCTGGGTGACCAAGACTACAACTAAAAAAAAAAACAAAAAAAAAACCAAAAAAACAATTCACTGGGCATGGTGGTGCATGCCTGTGGTTTCGGTCTTTCTTTTGAAAGACTAAGGGAGAAGGGTCACCTGAGCTGAGCAGGTCAAGGCTGCAGTGGCCATAAATGTGCCACTGCACTCCAGCCTGGACGACAGAGTGAGACTCTGCCTCAAAACAAGAGGTGTATGCATACAGAACTTAAACTTGTAGAAGAAAAGGAAAAGTCAAATCACAATGCAGTATTTGATTTATATAGTTTGGCATTTCAGTTACAATTTAAAAGGTTTAAAAGAAAAATAGTAAAAGTGCTTAGAGAACAGTAAAAGTACTTAGTAGGCTAATAGGTATACACCTTTTATATTATACAACATAAAACCCAGAATATAGTATAATTTCTTTAAAATTCCTTAATTTCATAATTCAAACTATTGCCAAACAAAAAAATGTTATTTCTTCTGTGCTATTTGGTAAACAAATCTTTTGATAGAAGTTACTATTTGTTACTACCAAATAGGCAGATTTAAAGGTTAGAGGTTCAAATGAAGAATTAGAAATTCCAGCCCAAACTAGATAATCTGCGTTTTCTCACTTATTATTATACATGTTACTATACTTAATTATAGATATATAAAATTTTTGCCCAAATCTAATGTCTCAAAGAATGAACTAGTACTCCAAATTATGATTTCCAAAAAATTCCAAACAATTAATATTTAAAGATTTTAAATGTAATTTTCTCTAACAAACATGATATAATTTCCTAGTCAATAACTAGTATAGGCCGGAAACCATATTCAGAGTGAAAACCTATTCAGTAAAGTTAGTACACAGGCCATATCTAACATATATTTCTAAGATAATGCTATTATTTATAATAAACCAACTAGCTTACCTGTGAGGTCCTTTGCTAGATCTGGATGGTTCATTAAACAGTGGCTGGCAAATTTCACACTTTCTAATCTCACAGGAACATGAATGTCATTAAATCTGCATAGAGAAAGATTGCTAAACATTAATTTTAAGGCAAAATAATTATTTCCAAATAAGGTACATCTTCTACGAAAATGCTTATAAACAACAATAGTTACTGATTAGAAAATGTGTTATTATAACGACAGCTAATATGTTCTGAAGGAGCAATATAAATTACACTAATAAGTGAAAAGAATTTCACAAGAACACTTTCAAAGACAATTTGTTTACCATGCTAAAAGAAGAGCATAATCACATTTCTCGACCCAAACTATCTACACTGTAGAGATAATATAAGGGAATTTCAAATTATGCTACAAAATTTAAAAATGAGTATTTCAAACACAAAAAATCTGCTTGAAGAATAAATTTAAAGAAGAAAAACACTGAGATGTGAGGCAGAAAGAAAGTCAAATATAAGCAGCAGCTCCAGAAATTCAAAGATAATCCCAGCACTTTGGGTGGCCAAGGTGAGAGGATTGCCTGAGCCCACGGGTTCAAGACTAGCCTGGACAGCTTGGTGAGACGCCATCTCTACAATAAATCAAAAAATTAGCCAGGCATGGTGGGGTTTGACTGTAGTTCCAGCTACTTGGAAGGCTAAGGTGGAAGGATAGTCTGAGTCCAGCAAGTCAAGGCTGCAGTGGCCAGGAGTGTGCCACTGCCCTTTAGAAGCCTGGGAGACAGAGTGAGACTCCTACTCAAAAAAAAAAAAAATTTATTTCTGAAGTGATTTCATGAAATAACCAAGTAAACTAAATTTATTTAATTAATGTTTATGACCTGCTTCCTTACCCAGAGATAATTTTCATACATTAATAATAAAATTTAGCATTTAGGACTTAAAATTTTCTACATGTTAGAGAAAAATTAAACACTATTATTTAATTATTTAAATTACAAAGTATCAAAACACTTGATAGGCCGGGTGCAGTGGCTCACGCCTATAATCCCGGGACTTTGGGAAGCCTAGGTGAGAGGACTGCCTGAGCTCACGGATTCATGACTAGCCTGGGTAAACTGGCAAGACCTCATCTGTACAATAAACCAAAAAAAGTAGCTAAGCATGGTGGCATGTGCCTGTAGTTCCAACTACTTGGAAGGCTGAAGTGGAAGGATAGCCTGAGCCCAGCAGGGCGAGGTTGCAGTGGCCGTAAGCAGCATGCCACTGAACTCCAGCCTGGGCGACAGAGAGAGACTTCGACACACAGAGACACACAGAGAGACACACACACACACACACACACTCTCCAGCCTGGGCGACAGAGAGAGACTTCGACACACAGAGACACACAGAGACACACACACACACACACACACACACACACACACACACACACACACACACTCCAGCCTGGGCGACAGAGAGAGACTTCGACACACAGACACACACACACAAACACTCGATGTTATAATTATGAAAATAATACCACAGAACAGATAGACAGTTATTTCTATGAATCAGAGACATTGCTAGAGTTAGTAGCAGTGAATGTAACACAATGAATTTAAGATGCCTATAATGACTTATTTCATTTTTAAAGTAACCCACTTGAAATATGGAGCCCTGTATTTTTGCTTCAATGATATGCATCAATATGCAATCAATATTGATGCTAGTCACTGAGATAGGGAAGTTCTCTTCTGTATCTTCATAAGTACAGGTGTTTCTTTCATGCTATGCTAAATTCTTTAGCGTTTAATTATTTAAATAGTCAGCATTTTTTTCATATTAAGACCTTCAAAATGGGCTGTTCTGACCAAGTACCTACCTGCTAAGATATCATTATACCATTGTCAGAGATTTCTCAGAACTTAAGATTACTATAAGGACTATTTATAGTGAGTTTATTTCTAGAATAACTCTAAGCCCAATTTTTGAACAAGAGTGAATCTCCAACAGCTCCAGAATATTAGTAGCAAAATACCTATTTTCAAATCAACTTTTGAAGCAACATATGTAAATGAAAACAAAGAAAACTTGATAAATTTCATAGATATTTTTTAACTGGGATCTCACTCTGTTCCACAAGCTAGAGTGCAATGGCATGATGACGGCTTGCCGTGGCTTCAAATTCCTGTGCTCACACAATCCTCCCACCTCAGCCTCTAAGTAGGTAGGACTACAGGCACATGCTACCACACGTAGCTAATTTTTGTTATAGGAATGAAGACTCACTATGTTGCCTAGGCTAAATTTTTCAGCCTTACCATCAACTCAAGAAGAATTCAATCATTCTAAGTTCTTAAAAGGAAACATTAAAAACCAAGTTAACAGCAATGATATTTTCCATTTAAAAATCATATCATTGGCTGGGTGTAGTGACTCATGCCTATAATCCCAGCACTTTGGTAGGCCTAGGTGAAAGGACTGCCTGAGTCCACGGGATCGAGACTATCCTAGGCAACTTGGTGAGACCTCATCTTACAATAAATCAAAAAATTAGCTGAGCATGGTGGTGCATGCCTGTAGTTCCAGTTACTGGGAAGGCTGAGAAGGAAAGATCGCCTGAGCCCAGCAAGTTGAGGCTGCCGTGACCATGAGGGCGCCACTATACTCCAGCCTGGGCACAGAGTGAGACTTTGACTCCAAAAAAAAAAACAAGAAAGAAAGAAAGAAACCATACCATTAAACCAAATTAGTCAAAACACATCATGCAATGTCAGTAGCTAAGTTACAGACTGAAAATATAAGCACGAGTAAATGAATTCATTTGGTGGGCTGAAAAATGGCATGAACTGCTTAAATTGGATCAGTAGGTCTTCAGTTCCATGACTTAAAAGTCTTAAGACAGAAAGACTATTCTGAGAAGATGTCTACTTTATTCTAATGCCATTATTTTAACACAAAATAGACTAAATACTGAGTTTTCTTCATTAAAAAAATGTGCCCTACAACTTATTCTCCAAAAAAGATCACAATGCAGATACCAATTAAACCAACACATATCAAGTTTTGATATGTGTAGTTTTAGTGAAGTAGACCCTACCAACTAGCCTCCAACACATAAATATCAGAAATGTATGTTTTCTTACCTTCCAAGAAAACACTGCCAAAGGGGACGATTCTGTGTTGCCAAATCGGAATCTTTAGAGCCAAACAATTTAGCTAGAAGTCGAACGACAGCTAATCGCTCTTCTCCATCATTGCTCTAAGAAGAAAAAAGGGAAAGTTAATGAAGCCGAGCTTTACTCATCAGATCGCAGAAAATGATAACATGAAACATTTGGTAGTTGTCTGGTTCTTTTAGTTTATTTCACAACCTCCCGCCTGCTAATTTATGCCTACTTCACTGCTTATTTGCATTGCACACACTGGTTATAGATGCTGTACAAATATAAAGACATATCGTTTGCTTCTACCATTGCTGAAGTGCCCTTGAAAAACTTCTATGAACAACATAGCTCCAAATAACTCTCATTCTAATAAATGCATTCTTTGTAAGAAATCTGTCCTGCAGTGTTTTTTGGTAAGGGTCGCTTGTTTTCTTATCCTATGAGAATTGTTTCAGTTTCAGTAATGATGCCAAGTTTTACCAAAAACTTAAGTTATTCTGAAACCATATGGTGTGAAATTTTTTAAACATAACCTATTCACTAGGAAAAAAAATGCCATACCTAAAAGCAACTGCTAATTTTGTTTTAGGTATTCGAATACAATGTGGGGCTAAAGCAATAAAAGGTATCCAATAAAGAAATCTTTCTAGGAATATGCAGAAGTTAAATTTTAAAAAATATACACCATGGGATATAATATTTTCCTTATAAATGTTTTCACTCTCAGGAATAGGGGTTCTGTGGGTAAAATGGGCATACCCAGCAAACAGATGTGAAAATTAAAAGTATGTCATATTAATACTTTTAATTAGAAAGGAAAAAAATGTTTTGAGAAAGTACTTTACACAAAATGACAATACAGAATAGTACAGGTTTTAAACAAGCCCAATGAACTGCCCAACGAGATTTATTTATTTATTTACTTATTTATTTTGAGTCAGAGTCTCACTCTGTCGCCCAGGCTGGGGTGCAGTGGCACACTCACAACCACTGCAGCCTCGACCTGCTAGACTCAGACAATCCCTCCACTTCAATCTTCCAAGTAGTTGGAACCACAGGCATGTGCCATCACGCCCGGCTAATATTTTTGATTTACTGTAGAGACAAAGTCTTGCCAAGTTGCTCAGGCTGGTCTTGAACCCATGGGCCCAGGCAATCCTCTCACCTAGGCCTCCCAAAGTGCTGGGAATATGGGATTATAGGCATGAGACATGGCACCCAGTTGATTTATTTTTTTAAAGAAATATCAATCTAGTCCTTAAATGTCGAACACTAGAGTATGTGGACATTTTATTATACTTGCAGGTAACTACTGTAGTAGATGAGTGGTTATTTCAAATGAGGTGACATTTCACATCGATGAACTATGAAAACAAGACTAATTAAAAACTTACCTCTTGGCTTTTGAAATTTTCAAATACATTCCCTTAAGTATAGTTGGAATGACTACGGTGATGGTAACTTCTTTCAGTACAAAAATCATTTGGTGTCTTTGATGTACAGCTGTATTATTAATTCATACCAAAGTGAACATTATCAAAAAATTTAACATACTACACTATTTGAATTACAAATATTTATTCTAGTAGTTAAGAGTGTAGGGACAGTGGCTCATGCATATAATCCCACCACTTTGGGAGGCTGAGACAGGAGGATCGCTTGAACCCGTAGGTTTGAGACCAGCCTGGACAACATAGTAAGATGCTGTCTATATAAAAACTAAAATAAAATAAGCCAGCTAAGTGTGGTGGCACATGCCTATAGGACCAGCTACTCAGAAGGCTGAAGCAGGAGGACTGCTTGAGCCCAGTATTTGGAGGCTGCAGTGAGTGGTGATTGTGCCACTGAACTCCAACTTGGGCACACACACAAAAAGGTGCTACTACTCAGTTACAGCCATTTTGTTGTCACGTAAGAAATAAAGGTCCAATGTTTCCAAATCTTCGCATTCTGACAAAAAGAAAATGCAGGCCGGGCTCGGTGGCTCAGCCTGTAATCTCAACACTTTGGGAGGTCGAAGCGAATGTACTGCCTGAGCCCGCAGGTTCAAGACCAACCTCAGCCTGGACAACTTGGGAAGAACTTGTCTCTACAATAAAAAATGAAAAATAGCCAGGCTTGGTAACATTTGTTTGCAGTTCCGGTTACTCGGAAGGCTGAGGCGCAAGGATTGCTGGAGCCCAGAAGTTCAACGCTAGGGTGGCCATGAGTGTGTGTGTCACTGCACTCCAGCCTGGGCGAAAGAGTGAGACTCCAACTAAAAAACAAAACAAAACAAAACAAAACAGAAAATGCAGGTAGGCACAGTGGTGCACCCTATAATCCCAGCATCCTGGGAGGCTAAGGCAAGAGGATTGCCTGAGCCCAGGAGTTTGAAATCAACATGGAGAAAGAGACCTCATCACTACAATAAATTTAGAAATTAGCCAGTCATGGTGGCAAATGCCTGTAGTTTCAGGTACTTGGAAGGCTGAGGTGGAAAGATTGTCTAAGTCCAGCAGGTAGAGACTGCAGTAGCCGTGGGTGTGCCACTGCGCTCCAGCCTGAGTGACAGAGTGAGACTCTAGCTCAGAATAACAACAACAACTCTTTTTTACAGATAAGTGTAGTAAGGACTAAAGTTTACATCCTAATAAACAAAACTCTAAGGAGAGAGCATTTAAATCATGAAGATACTAGGCTTTCAAATAAAACATATTAAATAGTATCTGCTTTGAGGCTGGAATCAGTTTATTAGCAAACACTGCTTTAGATTTAAAAAAAAAAACAAACCAGGTTGGGCATAGTGGCTCATGCCTATAATGCCAGCACTTTGGGAAGCCGAGGTGAGAGGACTGCCTGAGCCCACAGCTTCAAGACCAGCCTGGGCAAATTGGTGAGATCTCACCTCTACAATAAATCAAAAAATTAGTCAGGCGTGGTGGTATGTGCCTGTCATTCCAGTTACTTGGAAGGCTGAGGCAGAAGGATTGCCGAGCCCAGTACGTCGAGACCGCAGTGGCAGTGAGCAGTGTGCCACTGCACTCAGCCTGGGTGACAGAGTAAGATTCCAACTCTAAATAAATAACTAAATAAATAAATACTGAAGAATGGGGATATGACTATTCACTACAGCTCAGATTCCCTCAGTCACATTAAGTCCAAAAATTGAAATCTAAAAGTTTAGCTCTCAATCCCTTCCCACAATCCTTTAATGGCAATCTTGCTTAAGGGTTAAAGAGGTTTGACTGCATATTCAGACTCAGCAAGCAGATTGGGCAAAAATATTTTAATGCCCTGCATCTAGAAATGATATAGCATGGAACCATCTTTAGGCTGTTGTTAAACAAACTCTTTAATAGTCAAAAACCAAATCAAACCTTGTTTAATATACAATGTTTGCCCTACAACCAGAGTTTTTTTTAATAAGAAAATGCTTATTGGTATGATACCTTTATATTAAAAATATCAAATGTTAGTAATAAAGACATTAAGGACAAGTCTTAATAATGTAAACAAGTATTAAGAAAAGAAAAACTTGAGTTCTGATCTCAAATCTGCTATAACTGAGTAAGCAGGTAAAACATTTGATCTTAAATTTTACATCTCAAAAATAAAAACTGTAATGTTACTTCTAATTATCCCATAGTTTAAGGGCTAAAAAAGGCATTAGATATAAAAAGTCTTTCAATGAGGTCAGAATATTAAGCAAACGTAAGGCGTTATCTTCCATAGTTCAGCCGAGAGAGGGGACAGAGTACCAGGTTTTCCCTTTTTTTGGTTGGTTAAAAATTTGAAGAGTTATAAATTTCTTGTTTAGTTGGCTATAAAAAAAATAGATACACTTGCAAGATATACAGTAAAATATCTGTCCTTAGTCTGTACCATGAAAATTCATAAGGTGGGCTGGGTGTGTGGTGGCTCAAGCCTATAATCCCGGTACTTTGGGAGGCCAAGGCGAGTGGATTGCCTAAGCTCAGGGTATCGAGGCCAGCATGGCCAACTTGGTGAGACCTTGTCTCTACAATAAATCAAAAAAATAAGCCGGGTATGGTAATGCATGCCTGTAGTTCCAGCTACTTGGAAAGCTGAGGTGGAAGGATTGCCGGAGCCCAGCAGGTCAAGGCTGCTGCACTGGCCGTGAGCATGCCACTGCACTCCAGCCTGGACAACACAGTGAGACTCTGACTCAAAAAAAAAAAGAAAGAAAGAAAAGAAAATTCATCAAGTTATAATCTACATCTTTTGACCATTCAATTAAAGATTGCTTGGCATTCTAAAACATACCTATTTAACAATGAATACTATTTAACACCAACATGTATTATACATTTCAAGGATAATATCATTTTTCATATGTATTACTTGTGCCACTGTTATCAGTAGGTATTTAACAACTAGGTATATTATAAATTTGCAGTATAAATTCTCCTATAACCGAGATTTGAAAATGTTTTTTAGCAAAATTTAAAAAATGTAATCCCTAAATAAATATAAAAAGATAAACTGACCCCACACTTCATCCTTCTACAGTTATGGAAAAAACTATGATACTTATTTTTCCTTTAAAGTTTAAAAGACTTAAAATTGGTCAATCCTACCTTCAGTTTGAATTCAAGCTGTGGCATGACGGATAATAATAACTGAGGATCTATAGCAAAAAGTTCCTGAATCAGATCAAATACATGTTCGGACAAATCACTTACTGATGATCTTCCCAGCACCAGGACTTGATTGAAAAACTATAGGAGATATTAGAAAATACATATATATATATATCTATATATATCCATTTCATTAAAAACGGATAGGTTTTCTATAAACGTGTTTTTTTTTTTTAAAGTGTATCAGGTATTACATATTCAACAAAAGGGGGTGATACAGAATAGGTGTTTGAAGTACTAATATATAATAAGACAATCATCTACACAGCAGAAGAAATAAACCACCAAATATTAACAAATCATGAGTGTTACAGGGAGATGTTAAAAAGAAAAGGTGGGTTGTTGGCTGTACTTTATATAAGGATAATATTTTGGGGAATAAACCTTCATTAAAACAAAATAATTTAAACAGGTTATTTTTTTAAATGTGCATCCTGTTATTATAGAGAATACTATAAAGAAGTTTCCTTGGTGGCTTATACAGGACAAACTTATGCAAGCACAAATTTTTCAAAATCGTATGTTTTCTTGAGTTTTCCGTTCATATATCTATCTGCACTAAGTTGGAGAAGTAAAATTAGAAAAGTAATATTCTTTTAATAAATTTCATTTTGTGATCTCATAATTTACAATTAGACATTTCTTATCTATTTAGTTTGCAGAACAATGGAAAAACAAAAAGACAAAAGTGAGAGTTATAATGATAAAGATGAGTCAGATTTAGACTGATCTTCGTGGTTTACAGGAATCACAAACGTGTCCTTCCGCATCTTTGAACAACATACTGAGCAATAAATTACATATTATTGTGGGAAGAAGAAAATGAGACTGCATTGCCTGCTCAAATAGAAAAACACCAGATAGAAGGCGGCAAACAAATTGCTATTGCACAGCATGTATCAATGAACTTGCAATGCATGCCAGTGACCGTTTCACATGTTACCACATGTCAGAAAAATAGAAGATATAAAATTTTTATTTTTTTCATAAGTTCCTCAATGTCCAAAATTCCATTATAAGCTAAACAGCATTACAATAAAATAACTGGTTCCAACGTTATATTATCTACTATGAAGTGATTCATTTTTCACTATTTTGCAAAAAAGTGCAGTTGAGTTGCTGGTAGATGATCCACAAAATGTCTAAGAAAGCAAAGGGTTAAATTTCCAAAAAGTTAAAGGGACAATTGGATGCAACTGAGGATATGAGCATATATTTCTAGTAGTATCATAATTTGAAAAGCCATAAAAAGTTTTAAAATATTCATATTGATTACGTAGACCCTAAGGAAACAAGGAAAACAGGTTAACAAAAATCACACAAAAATAAGCACAGATTGTTACTTATCAAAAGATATATGAAAACCTCTTGATTATTTCTGAGAATTGAGACGTATTTAACATTGAAGAGACAAGCTGATGTCAGTGGCTCAGTCTGTAATCCCGCACTTTGGGAGGCTGAGGTGAGTGGATTGCCTGAGCCTGCGGGTTCAAGACCCGCCTGGGCAACTTGGTGAGACCTCATCTCTACGACAAATCAAAAAAAATGGTAGTGCGTGCCTGTAATTCTGGCTACTTGGAAGGCTGAGGCGGAAGGGTCGCCGGAGCCCAGTGGGTCGAGGCTGCAGTGGCCGGGAGCGG